TGTACATCTGAAACAGAGCACTGACACCTTCACACCTGGGATTGAGGCTATCGACAACACAGAAACTCGCAAATGATTTATGAACCTGGCTCAACAAACTGGGACACTGACAGCCCCACAAAGCAGAAATGCCATTTCACGTCACGCCACTACCGGTGAGGTCACCAGGGATCCCCACATGCATCAGAAGCAAATTCTCAGGCAGGGCTGACAGAAACCAACCAGCAGCCCAAGAACGGCCATCAAAAGGGTCTGACTCTTCAAGCTCACCCCAGTCTTCTTGCAAGCGCTTCTCCAGTGCAAGCACTGATGACCGAGAACACAAAGAGCCCACCCCCCCCCCCAGCCGCCCAGGCTCCACCTGGCAGGAGTGCTGGGGAAAGCCACGAACAGGAGCGTTGAGGCGATCCTGCCCCACGAAGGCCAGGCGGACGAGCAGCCCGCCACAGAAAGCCCTGCAGAGGCCCCCACAGCCTCACTGGCGGGCCGAGCCTCTGACCCAAATGTGGGCAGTCTTTTCCGTGCAACGAAGCTGCTGAAGGCGGCAGGCACCCCTCCCCACCTGCCCGTGCATATTGTGGGCGGCTCTGCGCTTAACATCGTGCCCCGGTGACCATGGAGCTGCAGCCTGGGAGGGCCTCTGCTGACAGCACAGCCGAGCTCGCCAGACACATCCTCCATGCAGAAAAGGGTTAACCAGAAAGGGGCGCATCCTGACGATCGGGTGAGCCCCCATCCCTGCCTTCCACAGCCCAGCTCTGGCCTGAGTCACAGTAAGAACAGACCGTGTAGCACAGGCATTCAACTCACTGCCTCTTTCATGCAAATGACTTTTTCATTGTCTTAGTGGCCCAAAACTAAGTAACCATTTTCAATAATTTGAACTAAATTTACAATATTGTAATATTTTTTATTTGTTAAGATCAACTAATATCTATCTGCAAGCTTCCCAGTCACATAAAACTCTTTTCTTAGGCTGGATGTTTCTACAGGAAAAATAGCAAGGGGCAGGGGGAATCCCCTGAGCAAAAGCACGGCATTAAGACCGTTATCATGGTCAGCAGGTAGGCTTAAACCTTAAAATGCAGGTGTTACTGCCATCTGACTCTGGTGGGGAAGAGAGGGCGTCCATCGCTCCTGCACACAACACTGCAGCCCCAGCTGCCCCCCCGCCCCGCCTGCGTGCGCCGCTCTCTGGAGGACAGCGTGATCTGGACCTCTGGTAACGTGGCAGCAGCACTGAAGAGGTCCTCTCGCCTGCTGAGCTGTTGGGAGCTCCAGAGGCCGTCAGTCTCCAGTGGAGCTGGGCAAAGAGCATGAAGTCAGTCGGCCTCAGCATGAGAGGCACCACAGAGAGAGGAGGTACTCACAAGTGGCAGCTCCTTGGGGCTCCCCTGCAAGATCCAGGATCGACACAAACGGCAGCGGAAACCGATCATTCCCTCCCCACACTAAGACTGAGGACAGGCTGATCCCCTATTTGAAGCATGCCTACAGGTGGCTGTGGCTTGCTGCTAATTATGTTATTTGTATTTTGCTGGCTAGGAATAAATCTGCCCACTCGCCAGGAGGCTGGCGCACAGGGCCTTCTCCCCTCCCCATGGAAGGATTTGGCCCAATTCCTCCTCCCCTTGATGCAACGTAAGCTGCATCTGGCCATGCCAAGACCCTGCACTTAGAGCCCCAACGCAAGGCCGAGCACAGCTGCACCTCCACAGGAGGGCTTCCCGGCCCCCTGCCTCAAAAGGCCCCCAGAGGGCCAAGTGGCTCCTCAGCAAGACGAAGCATTCAACCTGGAGTGATAAACGGTCTCTAACAGGATGGAGTGGATCCCAGCTGCAAAGTGGCACGGAGGTTCCACTCAGCGCCTAATGGGTTTCTTTAGAAGTAGCTCTTCAGCTCTGCAGAGCGTGCAGCACAGGGACTCTCACGCTCTTCTCTTCCAGCCAACCGAAAGGATGAGACCGCCTTTCTCACGCAAGCCTTTGTCAAGCAAGGTGCTGCGCGCACACACGTGCTGGCAGGGCGGCTCCTGCTGAAGAGACAGGTACAAACTGAGCCCCTTTGCAAGCTTCCAGGCTCAACACCGTGTGCTACCTGTAAAAATGGCCTCAGGTGGCAGGTGATAGGAAGCCCTGCTCCACCCAGGAGAACCCCTGCGAGGTCACCTGGGAGAGAAGCCACTTGCTACCCCAGAGGGAGCCTGGGCCAGCCACTCAGGCTAGGCGGCCTGGAATTCTGCCTGCTCCACCCAGCGTCGCCACGGAGAAATGAACCACAGGGAAGCAGCTACAGCGAGGAGGCTGCCACTACCTCGCTTAGTGCCCAGAGACATGGCGAGAGAAAGGTCACCGAACGGCTGTGAACAGCTGGTTAAGCCTGAAGAGAAAGCTACCTTCTCCACTGCCACAGTCAGAAAGATCGGCCTCTTGACCGGCTGCCCTCGATTAGGCTGGTGTGCACCATGACCACACTTCAGCCATGGGGCATCCCTCCACCACCCCCAAGAAACTTGCAGCCGGCCTGGGCTCGCTATGGGTCTTTGAACCCAAAGTGTAGCAGCCTCGTATTTCAGGAGGGACCGATCGTTAGTCAAATGCAGCACAGCGACTCAGAGAAGAAACAGGACTGCAGCGCAAACAACACAGGCAGCAGAAAGGAACCGAGCGAGCGGCAAGTCAGCGGAAGCCCTCCTGCTCCGCCCCCGAGCCCTGACAAGAGCACCTTCCCTTACCCTGCAGGCGTCACGGAAGGTTCTGCTTGAGGCCAACAGAACTGAAGAAACCATTCATTAAGCTGGCTTAGCTTTTAATTTTATTACTTTTTCTGGCGCCACCACTATCACATTTATCCTGCTATCTTAAAGCAGCTCTCCCACTGAGCGATGTGTTCAAAGATGCACAACATCCCATGTGACACCTCAGGAGCCAAAGGCCTCTCCAGCCCAGCACCGCTTCCACAAAGGCCGGCCAGCCATACGACGGCCCCACGGGGGCTGCGACCCGGGCTGCAGCCCCCTGCATCCTTGCCCAGTAACGGGCACCGAAAGCCACACTGCCTCCTCACTGGAGCCACTGAAACACGCAGCCCCGGACAATCTCCTCCTCCTCCTCCTCCTCCGTGAACGTTACCTAAACTCGGCCAGGGCGATGGCCACCACAGTGCCTTCTGGTGAAGCCTGTCGCCCCACTGCACACCGTGCGCACACAGCCTGCCCGACTCTCTCACCACTTGGCTTCTTCCTGGATGACTCCCACGGGGCTCTACATTCCAAGAGGGGTGAAATGCCTCCTTCTGCATGCACGCTAAATGCTCCACACCCCTATCATGTTTCCTCTTGCATGCCTTTCCCCCCAAGTTAAATAGCTCTTAATATGGGGAACTTTTATCACGGGAGAGCTGCTCCAGCCGCTTCCTCGTTTTAGTTACCCTTTCGCATCGTTTCCAGCTTGATAAAACCCTTCCGAAAAGTGGCAAAGACCACCACGCACAGGACTCCGAATGCTGTTGCGCCCCCGGCTTGCACAAGGGCCATGGCGAAGGGGTTCGCTTTCTCCTCCGTTTCTTTCCCAGGCGTCTCCGACAGTGGGCTTTATTCTCTGTCCCCTTGAGCTACCCGCTCCTACAGCCCAGCGCTCTCCTTCCCGTTCCCGAAGAGTTCAGGGAAACCGTCTGGCGACCACACAACTCAGCAGCAGCCAGGAAGGGCCGCACTCCCGAGGCACCGCTCCCGCCCAGCTGGGCACCCGCGCAGGGGCCGCCCTGACCAGGCCCGACGGGCCGCGAGTGCGAACCTGTCGGGGGAGAGGCTGGGGCCGAGCGCCGCCTCCCTCCCCCACGGGCACCGGGAGCGGGGCCCGGGCGGCGAGCCCCCCTCCCGCCACGACCGGGCTGCCTGCCCGCCCCGCCCCGCCCCGCCCGGCCCCGTTCCCCACGGCCCCGCCGAGGCCGCGTCCCGCCCCGCCCCGCCCCGTCCCGTCCCCTCGCCCGCGGAGGCGGTCAGGGAAGCTGAGGGGCGTCCGTCCCCGCCGCGGTCCGAGGAAGAGCGGCCTCGGTGCCCGCCTCCGCGTCGAGCCGCCGGGCTCCGTCCGGCCGCGGGGACGCGCGGCGAGTCTCCGGCTTGCCCGACGCGACGGCTCCGGGGCGCGGCACAGCTCCCCGGACAAGGGAGCGACGGCCCGGCGGCGGCAGCGCCTCAGGCCTGCGACGCCAGCCGGCGGCCCCCGAGCGCCGCGATCCCAGCCCCGGTCCCAGTCCGACGGCGGCTCACCCGAGCAAGGAGCGGCGGCGGCTGCGGGGCGCCCGCGCCGCGCCGCCACCGCCGGAGACTGCGCTGGAGTGCCTGTTGCTCGTCCATGGCCGGGCGGCCCCGCTCGGCTCCGCTCAGCGCCGCGACGGCGAGCAGCCCTCCGGCCCCCTCCGGAGCGCCCGGCCCCGGGCCCGCCCCGGCGCCATCTTCGCCTCCTCCGGACGCCGCGCGGAAGCAAGCAAGCAAGCAAGCAAGCGGGCGGGCGGGCGGGCGGGCCGGGGGCCGGGATGGGGGCGCCGGCCGCGTCGTCCGCCCCGCCCCGCCCCGCGGAGCCCCCGCCCCCTTTCCCGCTCGCGCCCGCCCGCCCCTCCCGCCGGAGTTCCGAAAAAGTTGACCTGGGCCGTCGTCGAGCGCCCGGGCTGGCTGCGCACGTCTGCACGCGCCGCGCACACGGGCCGGCCGGGGGGTAGCGCGTGCTGCGGGCCGGCGCCTTGGCGGGCTGGCCGGGGTCGCTGCCCTGCGCTGGGGGAGCGCGGCGAGCCGCAGGCACACGGAGGCCCTTGGCAGCCGCAAGCAGCAGCGGCCCCCTCCCGCTTGGTCGGTGAGAGCATGAGACGCCCGCCCCCCCGCAGCCAGGCCCTGGGGGGCCCCCCTAGCATTTCCCCGGTCAAATCCTGTCCTGCATCCAGCCACAGGACAGCTCCACGCTGCCCACACGGTGCAGTCTAGGCAAGGCACGGAGTCACTCTGATCTCAGAAAAGGGTGTTTATTTAGCAACGTTCTTTTAAATCTATCTATCTATCTATATATATATAAATGAGCACAAGCAGCAATTAAAATGGTCACTTGACTTTTTGAGCCTTGGAGGGTCCCGGCTGTTCTGGCTCTGCAGGGTGCCGTTTTCTGCTAGGAAGGTGCTGAAAGAGAAGGCAGGTCAGTTCACCTCTTGTCTGTCTTGCAGCAAGACAAGCAGGAGGCAGCGGCACTCCGGCCCCCACAAAGGGGTCTTGGGCATGCTTGGCCCGGGACAGGGACCGTTGTCTGAAGGCACAAGGCATGCGGCCCGTGTGGCACACAGGGCCCTCACGATCCTCACGTGCCGGGCGGCTTGGCACCGTGCCCCGGCGGAGCTGGCAGCCGGAGGGAGTCGCTGCTGCCTCCAGAGGCGGCTCCTGCACCATCACCGTGCAACGGATCTTGCGCAGGATGGAAGGCGCCAGCAGTCGCTCTGGACCAGGAGTTGTCAGTCCCATGCCTGGAAGCTCAGCCCACAGCGCACAGCCATGTCTGGCTTCTAGCCTAAGTGATGATATTCATCGCCCCTTCAAGTAATTGCTCCAGGGTCACTTCACCGCCACAGACCATTTTGTGCTGTTTTTCCAGATTTTGCACCTTGAAGGTTACTCTTTGTAGGACGCGGTTTTCTACAACCTGGAGCTTCCAAACTGCCTTCAGAGGCCGCCCCATGCCCACACTAGTCTAGCAGGGAGGTAACGGAGGCTGCCTCAAACCATTCCACCCAGGCTGGGGCTCCACTGGCGCTGCAGCAAAGCATCTGTGGCCACAGCTGCTGCCTGAGGCTGCTCGGACGAGCCCAGCAGCATTCCCAGGTGCCACGCCTGATCGTTCACGGGGAACCCAGAACCTCTCGCATGCCATCCGGATCTTCCCAAGCCGCAAAAGTTCTTTCCTAGATCAAGTTTCAGTTTGTCCTCCCTCATCCGCCCCAGTGCCACATCCAAACTTCGACAGAAAAGATCGAACACCCCTTTGACTCCAAGGTGGGAGAGAGAGAGATGGGGGTTTTGTGTCATTTGCATGTCAGTGATGACAAAGTCCGAATCTCTGATTTTTTCTCCCAGCAGTTTTACATTGATGTTAAAGATCCTGGGACATTGAATGGAGCCCTGCAGCAGCTACCTAAGCCAGAGGCCACGTGGTGGAGCAGAAGCCACCCAGTGCTGCCTGCTGTGCCTCCCAGCATGGGCCTGACGGTCAAACAGAGAAATACTGCACTCCTCCAAGAGGGCTAGAAGAAGAAACTAAGATGGTTCTCCCACCATCCAGTTCCTGGTGCAAGGTGTCCATTAGGTTAAGCAAGACTTTAGAACATGTCAGAACATTGTTATTACATGTCCACTTAAAAAGGTTTACCCTTTGCAAACTGTCAACAGTTTTTGAACCGAAAACACAAAAAATGGACATCAGAAATAGATACCCTCGTTGGAAGCTCTGGTGTAGGTACTGAACCCTTTGTCTGAGTAATTAACTGTTGAAAGGTGTGCTTCATACATTCATCCTGTAGAAAAATAAGTGTGCATACATTTAAAACACAATCCAAGCTCTTGATGAGTCCCAGAGAGGGTGAGCACCACTTTGCATCAGGCGAAGAAGAGGCACGCGGGAGCGGGGGGCGGGGAGACATAAAAAGCAATGCCACGGTACACGCTTTGGAAAAGAGACTAGGGAAGGGCAAGCCTCAAGAACAGGTGTGATCCAGACAAAAGGTAGAGAGAGCCACCTGGCTTCTAGCAGCCAACTCCAGGATGCTGTTAAAAGGAACCAGGTTGTTCATTACTTGTCTACACAAAGGGGTGCCTCGTATTTCCTGTTGCAGACTTTGATTGCTCTTGGGCAATCACTCTGCTCCAGGATGGAGGCATTTCAGGGGAAAGAGAATGTACAGGACTGGGGGAAGGTGGGAGCAAAGACGGGCTGTGCCCAGCCAAGGCATGGTGCGGCCAGACCCTTCCAGGCAGCGCGACCAGACCCACTTGCGGCCCACCCACCCTCTGCTGCCCGCCAACATGGTCCCAAGCAGGACACCAACGGGCAGGCAGGCTGCCCAGCCACATTCTCCTTAGATAGGACTATACAGGTGAGCACATACCTGAAGCCAAGGATGCGCCAAGGCCTCTTCTATTTTAAGGCGCTTCTGTGGATCCACCACCAATAGCTTCTGTACGAGGTCAAAAGCTGCAGCAAGAAAGTGAAATGCGTTGGAATTGGCCGGCCCTAGAATGAATTTGCATGTAAGGATGTAGCACACCCATGGAGCCAACTTCCAGGATCACCGCATCCACCTGAAACCGAAAGGAGCCCTGGGGCCATTCTGGACTGGGATTTCCAGCCAGTTCCATCCTGAGAGGCCAGGGAAACCACCGCTCCTTCCAGCACGGGGACGTGGTTCTGCCCCGAGCTGCGGTGCGGAACTGCTGCTGGTCTGGCAAGCCATGTCCTTCTTGCCCTGGCCAAGGAGCCGCTGTGTGGGCGCAGCCAATCCTGCTGCCAGGGGGCCGCTGTGTGGGCGCAGCCAATCCTGCTGCCAGGGGAAAACCTGTGCACATCTCGGAGGGCCCGTGCGCGTCTGCGCAGGCGTGCGTGACCGTGATGCGAAGTGAGCAGTGCTCGTCCAGAGGCGACCCTACCTTCTTTTGACACGTGCTGCCACAGCTGTGCGCAATAGAAGTAGTCCCCTCTGGCGATCTGCTCCCTCAAAGACAGCCGAGCGTTCTTATCCGAAAAGGGTGGATAGCCAGAGAGACTAGTCGGAACAAAGGGGGGGAGCAGGCTGCTTCAGCAGTGAGAAACGGGGAAGCTGCCGCCGCAGCAGCTATTTCACCCGACTCCCCCACCCCAGGACCTCGTGGGTGTGCATCCAAAGCACAGGGCAGGAACGCTGTGCTCCACACCAAACCTGGCCAGGAGGCATGCCAGGCGGGGGCTCAGGAAAGCCCCTCTTGCGAAGCCTTCCCAACCTCGCCAGGCTGCTTCCGGGCTAAGGAGCAGCTCCTGGCCTGATCCTGAGCACGCTCACAGAGCTCCCCTGTTCCGGGGCCGAGGCCCATGCAAGCATGTCCAGGGCCACCCCGCAGCAGTAGGCAGAGCATAATTCAAGACTCACGAGTGCCCTTTCACAGGGCTGCTTAGAGGGGCCCCCGGAGCTCCAGCCATGTTCGCAAGGTAGCTCCCTTTTTCTTTTTTTTTTACCACATAAAGAGAATCACTCCCAGGCTCCAGCAGTCCACCGAGCGTCCGTAGCCAACTGTCCCAGCAAAGTTTTGAACTTCAGGAGCAAGATAGTCAGGCGTGCCACATAAGGTTTTCATGAGAGAGGTTTCTCCAAGAATTTTCGATTGTCCAAAATCTGTAATCTTGCACAAGGAAAGGAAGAAGAATGGCTCAGAACATCAGAGAATTTACTTATGACACCCCACCTTAATAATTCTGCGGATGCCCAGCATTATTCTTTTGTCCCCTTAGTCCTCTGAGGAACTGCCAGAGGAAAGAGTTCTCCCAGAAGCAGCTGCCTCTGCCGGGGACCTGGGCAAAGCCTCACAGAGCAGCTGCACGTAGCTGCATGTACGGTGGCCGGGGGGGGGGGGGGGGGGAAGGTCTTCCTGCTCACCTTTACGAGACAATTCTCTTCATGAGATGCTAAAAGTACATTCTCCAGTTTCAAGTCTCGATGAATAATGCCATGTTCATGAAGGTACTTTGCAGAGTGACATGCAGGAGAAAATATTGCAATTCAGGCAGGTTTGCAGCTCATGTGTCTTTGCATGTCGCATCTTTTCTCCTTTTATAAACTGCCTCGCTCCCTTACTTAGCCATCCCCGCACCATTGCTGATTTTAGTAAATATAGAGACTGCCTTGTATTTTAGTCTTCATACAGTGCCCAGGAAATTCCAGGTTTTTTAAGCAGCAGCTACATCTGATGATCCACCATTTTATATGCCCCCTAAATCTGAACGTTTGCCCTGGAGTAACCACAGATGCCAATCGCGTCCACAGATCCAAGTTCTAAGTGCAGAGCTTTGAACCGGTCCTGCAGACAATACTGAGCTGCCAGCCCTGAGCAGAACGGATGAGCAAATAAATCTCCCCAAGGGAAGCCCAGCCAGGGAAACCAGCTCTGGGAGAGCTAATGCTCACATTCCCCAACAGATAAAATTGCATTTATAGCTTTAAGACAGAATTCTGAAAAGACACAGCACTGCAAAATCTGCCAAGCACAAATCAGGGAAAGGGCTCCCCCCACCAAGGTGGAACGCCACAAACGTTTTTCTCATATTTATACACCCATCCTCCCTGCAGGATTTCCACCGAGCTGCTTCTTCGCCGCCTCGAGGGAGAAAACGCTCCTTCGGTCGGACTTGCGGAAAGGTTTGCCACTCTTCAGAGACAGCTGTTGCAAGACCAGGTGGTTGGCCCTTTTTTTGTGCTGCGTTCTGAAGAGGGACGGCGGCTGCACACCCCACTGAGGATCATCTCTGGGCTCGCTGGAGCAGGGGCTCACTGCCCCCCAAAGCTGCCAGCAAGCACCAGCACATCCCCGCATGGAAGCACGGACAGCCTCGTGGAGCCAGCCTCTGGGTGCTGCATCCTGGAGCTGAGAGTCACCTGCACAGCCAGTAGCATCTGGTAGAAATAAAGCTTGCATGTTGCCTCACTCAGTCTTGCTGGGGGCAGCACCCTGTCAAACAGCTCCCCACCTTCCATCCTGGAAAACAGAGGAGAGTACCGGCCACTTCCAGAGGCAGGCTAAGGGCAGAAATGTGTGGTCACGATCGTAGAACAGTCACGGAGCTTGAGAACAGTAGATTTGGAAGAAGCAAGGGGGCCGTGGGGTCCAACCCCCTGCTCCCAGCTAAACCTTGCCTCCCCAATGGCCGCATCTTGAATGCCTCCAGTATGGAAGGGCCCACCCCCACCCCAGACATAGGCTCCATTGCAGGAAGGATGGAAAGATGGATGGATGCAGCCGTTCACAGTTTACTAAAAGATCATCTGCTTCATTGCTGGATATGGCGACATCCCTCAGCAAAACATGCAAAGTGCCCCAAATAGTTCTGGAAGATCCTTCAAAAATCCAGCCAGTGACCCAGGGAAGCCAGCCTATCGGTCTGGGAAATCCCCTCCCCTGCAGAGGAAAGTGCCACACCAGCCTGGAGACGACACACCTCATGGTGACACACAATCTGGGCATCAACTACCTCCTTCATCGGATACATTCAGTGTTCTTTACTAGGAGGCCATCTACAGACAGAAGCTGGGTGGGAACACAGTGGTTCGACTTTTCTCCAGAAATCTGGCCCCTGAGAAGGACAGTCTGCATCCTTCCTTGGTGACATTTCTGATTTCTGTTCCCAAGACTGTTCTCTGAATTTTTGACTCTTTCATAACCAGTGTTGAACAGAGGATCCCCCACATCCCCATGGAAACTTTCAGGCTTGGCCTCTGCCACAGATGAGGGGCATAAAAACCAGGAACACCAACTGAGGTGGGAGACTTACAATTCCAACACAATGTAGAAGTCTTCTCCTTCAAAGAAGTCTATTATCTTTATTAGGCAGGGCTGTGGGCAGAAAAGAAAGAATCGGAAGTGGCCGGGCACTTGCTCTGCATAAACCACCCCCAGAGAAGGCTTTTGTTTGGGGAGGGTGGGGAAGGACTTGTGAATCCATGAGCAGACAAGGCAGGCGGCAAATACGTGTTTTCTCAGCAGCTGGAGGGCGGCCCAGAAGCCTCCGTGAGTGAGCAGCAGTTGAGGCTGGGGAGAGGAGGGCCCCGGAAGCCTGCCCACCCCACAAGCTCGCATCAGGAAGGCAGCAGCGAACGAGCGCAACGGCTCCTGCGCAGGGCTTCCGCCACCCCGCAGCCAGGCCCGCCCGAGGTGCCCCCGCCACTCTCCTCCCTGCCCACCAGGCCACCAGCCAGTATTGCTCGACCCCCAGCACGCTCAGCTCTCTACGGGCTGTTTTGGGGAGGCGCTTCAGAGAGACACTTACATGGTCGATCTTCTTCAAAATCTCCACTTCTGTTTCAACATTAAAAGGCTTGTCCTGCTTTTAGAAAGGGAAAGTCGAAACAAAAAGTTGCTTATACCACCTTAGACTGTCCAGTTACTGTGAGGCACCATTTGAAACAGAGAAAGCCTCATACACAGGTGTCATCATGGCCCAACAAAAGCCACCTGGTGTAGACCAAGAGGCAAGAATTAGAAAGACTAAATGAAGACTCCACCGAATAGCACATGGCGCTACAATATGTGGAACTTGAGCATGTGCAGAAAGCCACCCCCTCCCCCAGGTGAAGAGGTCTTCAGAACTGAAGCTGACCTGGGAATGGCGCCAGAGCCCATGAATTGGAGCACAGCTTAGAACTGATTCCCTGCCCCAAAGGACCCTCACGTTCCACAACTGAAGAAAACTATGTAAGTCTATCGACTCGGGTCTGGACACCATGGGCTGTTTTAGGGCTCCGGTGTGGTTTCTTAACTGCAGAAGCAACTCAGCCCTGCTGCTCTGGGCAGCACCATGAGCCACGCTGGGCAGGTGCAAAATTGCCGTGCAACCAGGTTAACCAGCTGCTGTGGCCTGCTAACCGCACTGGCCGTTGTGCAAACTGCCCAGAGTTTCCATGTTGTGTGTTCACGGTTGGGAATTCTGCCACTTAAGAATGTGAGTTAGCCACAACATTTAAAACACAATCAGCCTTGCGTACAGTATCTTTCTTTGTACAAACAGGCATGTTGTCTGCAGCACACCTGTCCACAACTGGCTCCTTTGTCACTTGAACAACCCAAAAGTTAACCAACAACAACTGGGACACTATGCTAAGCAAGGATTTTTTAATCGTTTACGTAGCAGCCATGAGAGCTTTGCAAAGGCTATTCCCTCACACCACTGCCCAGAAGATCCGAACAAACAGAGGTACTTACATTCTCTGGCAAAGTGTCTGTCATAAACCTCCGCTTATGGATGATTTTTATGGCGACTTTATCACAGGTGTCCCTTTCAAAGGCCAGCTTCACCTCTCCACAGGCACCGCTAGCAGAAAAGGGAAGTTACTGACTTGGCAGCGTTGAAAGCCATGCGCAGCCCGCCTCTCTCGACTGGCGCCCCAACTCAGTGCTCGTCTCTCATCCTCCGACCTCGCGGGAGCATCCGCACCTCAGTGACAAGAGGCGGAGGCAACTCCTTGCTGAGATATCCTGCCACAGACACCTGCAGCAGAGCTCTGCCTGCTACCCTTGCTAGTTTGCACCACACCCAGCGGCCTTCTCGTCATCACCGGTCACCACACCGTGCCGCAGTTCTGTTCTGCAGCCACATCTAGTGGACCAAGGCGAGGCACCAGCTCCTGACCGGCAGGAAGCCCGACTTGAGGCCCAGCCTTGGAGCTGTTCTGGAAAGGGCCGTGCACCCCAGAAGGCTCAGTCTGTGGCCTGGGAGCCCCTCAGCCCCGTGCTTCCTGGACATTCGGGTGACTGAGGCTGCAAGGAGCAAATTTGTCCTGGTGGGCCTGGTCTGCCATTTGGGACTTGTCCCAGATTGGCCTGATGTGGCAGCAGGGAGCCATTATTAGTCTTGGCAATGCTCTTTGCATTTCTGCCACTGCAGCTGAAGTTCTCTGGACAGGTCACTACGTTAAGTCCCCCATCCAGATTTCAACCAGGCCCAAATCTGTTTAGCTTCCAAGATTAGGTAGGATCAGGCACATAAGAGCACTCAGGCTATATAGAAAGGCTCTCTCTCTCTCTCTCTCTCTCTCTCTCTCTCTCTCTCTCTCTCTCTGTCTCCATATTTAGCTGTAATGTGCTCTCTGTGGGGCTGCTCTTGCAGAGCATCCAGAAACGTTGGCTGGTGCAAAATTTGCCAGCCAGGTTATCAAGCCTGTGTTCGCTTCGTCCCAAGAGACCTGCACTGGCGTCAGTTGCTTTGCAGGCCTGAGGATTAGGGTTAGGGAAGAAAAAGACAAAACATCTCTGGGGAGAAAAAGGAGCCGTCTCCTGCAGACAAGAAAAGAGCAAAATGCCACCCCTCTCTTCTGACAGAGACTCTGAGACCCGCCCCCTCAGTAGCAGGGTTCGCAATTCCACTTGACAAAGCCACAACATACCTTTGCGTTAACCCAGCGGCACCCCCCTCCCCACAAGAAGAGGATTCCTAGCTGGCCAGCCCCATCCCCGCAAACTCTCCCACAAACCGGGAGAGATACCAAGGTCAGTTTCTGAGGCTGAAAGGACGGTATCGTCAGGAAAATGCAGCCGAGGCAAGCCGGAAGCACCCCCCAGGACCAAACCCGAGAACACACCCAGCCCCTCCAACTTACCAGCCCAAAGTTTTTGATATGATATATTTGTCCCTGAGCTCCTTGGGATACTCCAACTGATGATCATCCATGAGGTCACAGAACACAAACACTGGGAAGGCGAGGGGAGAGCGGAGCCCTGTTACTAATATCCTAATTCCCACCCATTAACCATGATTGCAACAGAAAGCCACAGCCATGAATGGGTCCAAACGTCGAGTTTTCAGCGGAGGCCTCAGAAGAAATGTGTTGCCTTATGTGTAATGGTAGCACAAAATGATCTGCCCATCCGTCTTCATGGGGGAAGATGCAGGCTAGATAAGCAGAACGGGCATTTCTCAGGAACTGAGGCAAATACAGGTAGCAAGAGGTGAAGCTCCAGGCCTCACAGATACATGTAAAATTAACTCATTTCTACCTCAAGATGGGACTCATTTGTGATGGACTCAAATGCGATATTGTTGATCTTCTAACAAAAATGTAGCCTGCTCTAAGGGCAGCCTCTAACAAATGGAAGATGAAGGAACCAGGATTCTGCAAGTATCTGTACAGCAAAAGGGGCTTTTTGACATGTTCAGAAATGAACACGGAGTTAGGAGTGAGCAGTGAAGTGCCCTTCTTGCTAATAAAACCAACTGTTTGTTGTGGCTAAAACAAAAAGGACCACAAAGTGCTCCAAATTAGGAACGTGGGCTTTAAAATGGCAGGTGTGGTCCAGGGTAAGTAAGGGTAAGTGGACGCCTGCCGGAGCAAAGCAATCTTAACTTGCAGGCTTCCTGTGCAGCGTGGGGTTGGCCTCAGTGGGAGGAGGATGTGCTCGATCCAACGTCAGGGTCTCCCTTGACGAACAGCTGCAGTGACGGTGATCCATGTGGAATCTAGGCAGCTAAACAACTTCTAAGATACTGAGACTTCATGGTGAGCTTCAGCCATCCGGGGGTTTCCAGCATGGAAAAGCTCCCGAAAGTCAAGAACAGAAAGAGCTGCAAAGTTGCTACTTTACAAAGGATCACCCAACCTTGAGCACTCCGTCTATGAATTATCTTCAAAGCAATTCACCAGGAAAATGTATTCAGCACTATTTCATAAAACTGCCTGGCTGTAAGACCATGAGGACTAGGGAGCCACTCTGAGGATCCAAGATCTCAGCCTCCAAGATCCTTTTCTTGAACTGAGCCTGATTAGTGAAATTCAGACCAAGTCCTGTATGCCTGCACAAGCGCTTCTTTGCCTACCTTGCCCATCATCAGTCGCCACCTCGGATTCTACTGCAAGCAAGTCACCCTTTCACGGTCTCTTACCTTTGTTCCGGGGCAGGGAGAGGGCAATTTCAGCCACATGCACCAAGGGAAGCTTCCGGCCCTTCCCCAGAATGCTTCCATTGATGAATGTCCCATTGGCGCTTTGGTCTTCAATGTATGTCACAAAGCAGTTTTTGGGTCCTGGTTCCTGGAGAGAAGACAGCAAGCCATCGTAGACCAGGAGTAGCTTTCCAAGCACGGGGCCAAGTTTCTTACTTCCACAGCACCTTTTCTTCCACCTACATACTGGGGTGAAGCCAGTCAGAAAGCTGCTGCTCTACTGCCTGAACCCTTCTCAGCCCAGGCAGGAGAGGGCAGGTCATCTTAGCTGGTCTTTCTTTATGGAACAATAGCAAATTAAGGGATGCAGAGGTTACTGTTGAGCCGACAGCACAAATCCTGGATAGGATTTGCCAGCTAGAAGGCCATACACAACCCAGCAGCTGCAACACCCCCCTCCCCACACTCACTTTTGGGAAACGTGTGTGCTGGTGTTGCACGCCATGGGGGGGGGCATGGAGGAATCCCATTAGAACTTACTCTGAAGATGCGGAAATGCTTCTTGCTGTACTGCTTGTAGAACTCTGTATCTGCCAAATTCAGTTTAGCAAAGCTGTAATCACAGCTTGGGTCTCTGCCAAACCAATACTCATTTTTCACACAGTCTGGTAGAAGGGCAAAGGAAGAATGCAAAACCCCATTAAGGTATCTGTAAGTGAGAAAAGTACCTGAAACGTCATCTGGGCAGAAAAGTCTGCAAGACGCAAGTACAACTTACATTTTTCCAAAGGAAACAAAGTTAAAATCCAACCAAGTTTTATGAATGAGGTCTTATTTTAATGCTAATTCACTGAAGACATCATTTTTTTTCACTAGTATCAAAAAGTGAGCAGAAACAGGCCAGGAAGGAAGAGCAGCTTCCAGCAAAAAGGACAGCCCTGCAAATGAGAAATCACCCAAGCAGAATCAAAGAATTCAGCACACCCAAGTTGCTGCAATGCGGTTATTGCACAAACTGGTCGAGACCATAAAATATGGATGGATTAAATGCTGGAACATCTTCCTTCTAAGGTCAGCAAGCTCCTCAAGCAGCCGGGCCCACAGACTTGCCTCTGCTCTGGCCACAAGTGTTCACAATAAAGACGAATGCAACTGCAGATTACAAAAGAGGAAAGAAAATCATGCCCAGGCTTGGTGGCTTCCAGAGATCCTTGCCAAACTCCAGGGCCGGGAGAGAAATCACACCTCGGACAGAATGCTTCAAGGAACATCCAAGCTGAGCATAGCAATTAAGGTCTAGGCCTGGGAATTGGGAGCTCTGGGTTCTAGTCTGCACCTGGTCATGATGCTCTCTGGGGGACCGGATCAGTCATGGGCTCTCAGCCTACCCTACCTCTCAGGACTGTTGTGAGGACAAAATTAGACAGGAGGACTACAGACGCTACCCTCACAGCCGAGGCACACAGTCAAAGTTCTCTGGACAGTACACAACCAAGTATAAAAGCAATAGAATAGAACAGAACAGAAAAGGACATTGAAAGACAATCTTAAAGACCTGGTCAAGAGTAAAGAAAGGCACCTGACTAATTGTATCAGGCCCCAGATGGACCAGGGGGATCTTTAAAGGCCTCCACAAAGAGGTCTGTCATCAGCTGGCACCAAAAAGATAGCAAATTTGATGCCAGGCAGGCTGCAGTGCAGGAGGGCACCACCAAAGACGGGGGCCACCTCCAAAGGGGCCCTCCCACTGGTTACCGCCCTCCAAGCATCTTGAGGGATTGGCGCCCAGAGGAAGGCCCCAGAGGCAGTGTGCAGTGACCGAATACATCAGAGCTGGGGGAGGCGCTTCACAGGTATTGTGGTCCCCAGTCATGTAGGCTGAGGTTAGGTTAAGACCAGCACCTGGAATTGGGACCAGAAACATGCAGGCAACCAAAACAGATGGGCCAGAACTAGTCTTATAAGTTCAGACTTCCGGGTCCCAGTTATTAATCTGCACCAGCTGCAGCTTTCGACCCATCTCCAAAGGCAGCCCCAGGCGGAATGCATTGCAGTAATCTAGAGATCACCAGCGCACAGATTACTGAAGCCAGGCTATCCCCATCCAGGTTCAGGACTGGGCCACCTGCCAAAGCTGGTAGAAGGCACTCCATGCCACTAATGCCATCTGAGACTCAAGGGACAAAGAAGGATCAAGGAGTGCCCCAAGCTATGGACCTGCTCCTTCAGGGGGAGTATGATCCCATCTAGAAGAGGCTGAACACCCCCTTCCAGTCAAAGGAATCACCCACCAACAGCATTCCAGTCTAGTCTGGACTGAGCTGCTGTTTGTCAGCCCTCCATCCAGACTATTATCGTAGCCAGACACCAGTTCATCACATCCACAGCCTCACCCACCTCCAGTGAAAATTATGGACTGTAGGGAATCACAGAATCAAAAGGAGAGACTCCCAAACACCAGATGACTCCACTGTATATTAGATTAAGGCTCCAAGTGCTGTACAGAAGCTGCCCGCCACTCTCCTGACAGTTGGGACTAGAGCAAGAGTTGAAATGGATCCCAGACTGGCAAGGCGTTTCCAGCCTGCGGAGTGACACATTCCTAGAACCTGGATTCTGGACACCGGAGGCAACACTGGCACGTGCAACAGCCACTTTCACATCCCAATCGGTGCTGCCACGGCCACCGTTTTGCGGCTGTTTTCTGGAAGTGCTGGAAACGCCCAGGGAGCCCAAGCGCCAGATGCTCCTTGCCCCTTGCCAGGCACAGCCCGGGCATGCCCCGAGCCACCCGGACAACCATCGTCCCCAGGCTCCGCCAAGCGCGGCCACAGTTCCCGCAGCGGGGCGTCCTCAGAGCCAAGCCGGCTCCCTCGGCGGGACGGTACCTACCCCAGTTGGGGAAGCCCTCCGCCAGGCTGAAGAGGCGGCCCCACGGCTGCGCGGCGGGCTCTCCGGGCTCGGCGTCCTCGGGGATGGGGGGCAGGTCCTGCGTGGGGAGCGTGTCGAGGGAGCTGAGGGTGCCCGAGCTGGAGGAGGACTGGCTGGTGCCCTGCGTCCCGCTGGACGACGAGCCGGAGCCCTCCGGGGGCGGCTGGCGCTGTGGGGAGCCTCGCTCGGCGGCGGCGCCCTCGCGGGACATCCCTCGGCGGCGGAGCGGCCTCCTGCGGGGACACGCGCCGGACGGCGCCGGGCTCGTCACGCGCGCGCAGGCGGCGGCCGCGCTCCGTGGGTCCCGCGCCGGCCGGGAAGGGGACGCGCCGCCGGCGACGCATTTGCGCGCGCTTCGGTCGCGGCCGCCCCGCCCCCCCGGGCAGCCGCGGAGGAGGGCGCCGCGAGACTGGCCCGGCCCGGCCCGGCCCAACACGTCCCGCGGGCTGGGCGGGAAGCGTGCGCCGAGCTGAACCGCTCCCCGTACCCCGCCGCGCACCTGGCTCTCCAGTCCGGACTGGCGCCTTCCCGGCGTCCCGCCCCTCAATGGCGGACGGCCGGGCGGGCGGGCGATGCGCGTGGCCTGCCGGGAGTTGTAGTCCGGAGCATATGTGGCCGAAGGCATCGCACGGGCCACTGCGGGCGGCGCTCTGGGGGGTCCTCGCCCGCCCCCGACAGGCCCTGCCCGGCGCCCGCGAGCGCAGCGCCCAGCCCGGCGGCCGCTGCTGGAGCTGTGGCGATCCCCTCGCCGGCGGCGGCTCGCCGGCGCCCCGCTTCTGCCCGGCCTGCCGCGCCCTGCAGCCCCCGGAGCCCCGCCAGGACCTCTTCCGCCTCATGGGATGGTGGGTACGGGAGGAGACCGAGGGGAGGCAGCCGGGAGGAGGGCCCCGCCCCCGGCTCCCTGCAGAGCCCGGCGGGAGTGGGGGGGCGGCTCCCCCCTTTGCCCTCCTCGGCCCCGGACAGGGAGGACGCGGGCGGGATCAGCTCCGCGAAGGCGGCGCAGCCCCTTCCCCGCCGCTCCGCAGTTGGCCGGTCACCCGTCGGCTGAGGGCGCGACGGAGCCCCTCGTGGCTTCTGGCGCAACAGGCGAATTGCTTCCCTGCCCCCCTGCAGTGACCGCACCTTCCGCGTGGACGTGGCCCTCCTCCAGCAGCGCTTCCGGACCTTGCAGCGCTTGCTGCACCCCGATTACTTCAGCCGGCGGCCCCAGGTCAGAAGGGCGCCCCCCCCCCCCCGGCATCGCCTGCTGCTTGAGAGGGTGGCGCGCCCCCGGTGTGAGGGCCGGTGGGAGCGCAGCCTGCGCGGGAGCCGGAGAAGCGCGAGGCGAGGATGCATCGCCCGGGCCCAAGAACCTGACAGCAGAGCTGCAGGCCCCTCTTCGCCCCCCCCCCCGCGCCTCCCGAGCCCGGGGGCAGGGACCGGCTCGTAGAGAAGCTGCTTCCGGCTCAACCCATTCCCTCTACTCGCGGGGTGGGCAAATCCCAGAGGAGAAGCTGTGGTTTCTAACCTCCCCATAAGGGTCCCCTGCAGACAGATCAGGGGAAGGTAAAATGGGAGCACAGATGTGGCCAACACATCCCCTGGGTTCTCAGGAGTACCCACAAGCAAACTTCCACACCCACTTTCAACAGAGAGAGCAAGATTTTTCGGACCAGCACTCCTCCCTGGTCAACAAGGCCTACCAGACGTTGCTGAACCCCCTAAGCCGCGGGCTGTACCTGGTAAGATGTCTATTTTTTATTTATTTAAAGATTTTTATCAACTGTTCTGTAGCAAGCGAACTCAGGACGGTTTGTGTCTAACACAGTCCAAGGCGTGAAACGCAGCTATCCTGCTGAGAGTCTCTGCCTCAGAAGAGCCCTGGAGCCAAGTCAGGCAAATGGCCCCTAGTCCAGCGATCAGTCCCCACCATGGCTAGGCCAGCTCCCCAGCAGGAAGGCCAAAGCAGGACCCAAGGGCGGCAGTGCCTTCGCCCTCGCGTTCTTCAGCAGCTGGGACGGAGAGGCAGCCCGGCTCCCTGTCCCAGGGGCAACATCTTGCCATTGTGACTGGCAGCCACCGATAACCTTGTTTTTCTTTTACACCAGAGAATGCAGTGGTCAGTCCCCGGGGTAAAAATGCTGCTGGGTATCTTCTTTGTAGAACAGCTGGCCTGAGAGTGGAGCTAAGAAGCTCTAAAGACCATCATGTTTTCATTTCCAGCTGGAATTGAATGGAGTAGAGCTGGAAGAAGGAACAGACACTGAGGCAGATCCAGAATTTCTCTTGGAAATCATGGAGATGAATGAGAAACTGTCAGAAGCGCACAATGATGCTAAAATAGAAGAGATAGAAAATACCATTGCAGGTAAGATTTGTGCCTTTCTGGAAAAGGTGCCGAGGTGGGCAAAGCCGGTCAGGACCAGGTGCAGGATCCTATGACTGGGACCTCCTGTGCATAACAGCCTCTCCCTGGTTTAAGTGCTGCAGTTCCCAAGCTACTATTCCCTTGAGCCTGGAGAAGATGGAGACAGCGGTTGGACCCCCAACACTCCCCCCCTGCCACCGCCGCCACAGCCAAGAGCAATTTCAGAGTGAGCCTGGGGAAAGCACGCAAGAGGGACACATCTCTGAGTACCTCCTTGAATGCAAATTTCAGGAATGTTTTTCCCCAGACTGTCACTCAGCAGCACCTTCTTTCCAAACTCGGGAAGGTGCAATGAGGCAGCTTTTCAGGTGCATTAACACCACACCACAACTTGTGTAAGCTGTTAAGAAGGCCAGAGAAATCAGAGAAGGCATCCTCGTTCCGTTCCGAGAGGCATGCTGAAAGATGCTGCTGGCTGCTTCTGACCATCAGCTCCTTTGCAGGAAAGCTGAATTGCCGCTCTCTTCCCACGTACCCTCCACACGCTCTTTGCGGTCACATCCGTGGTAGCGGGGAGCAACCGTAGGGGCTGAGGACGTGCATAGATGGCAGCCTTCCTGTTACAAACCTCTTTCCCTTGCAGCAAAACAAGCAGAGCTGGTCGCGAGTGTGAGCAGAGCCTTTGAGAAAGGTAGGCAGCTGGCATTCCTGCTCTTTGTGCTGCTCCTCCTGGCCAGCATCCTCCCCCCTCTTGCCAAATCTTTCCCTCCTTTGCTGCCTCAGGTGGGGGCAACTCCGCAGTTGCAGTGCAATTTAACGAGCTGTGTTAGCCGAGTTTGAACAGCATGGCAGCCACTGCCAGGCAGTGATTACGGAAGCAGAGCCCGGCCTACACCACGGTTTGGATAAGCTTACTTTGCTTGCGCAAACTGCCCTGTTGTGTTGATTTTGTCTGGTGTGGTGCCTTCTGATGGGTGATGCTTGTGGTTTACAAGACTGAGAGCTGATCCAAAACCCACCCTAGACTGTAAGGGCTTCCTAAAATCCAGCGGTTAAGGAAAGGTGTGGCATTTGAGGAAAACCCTTTGCCTTTTCTACCAGTTTTGTGGGGCCCTCAAATAGGGAACATGGCAGGGCAGCCATGTAGACTGAAGCTGGTGCACGGCCCTGTAGCCGCCCAGTTGCTAGAAGTCATGCGGAGGATATATTGCCATTTGCCAGCAGGTGGGTTCCTGAATATCAGGTGTGCTTTTCCTTTGACAAAAACTGTGTTCCCGAATAGCTTGCTAAATTGGCACCGCCTTTTCAGTAACCCATGATGGGCCAAGTCTGCCACGTGAACCAGTCCACTATCTTGTCACTGAATTATCTTGTTTTATACTCGTGCTAACCACTTCAGGATTTTTCAAAGCAGAAGTGGTACAGAAATATTTATAATCACAAATAGATTGTTTCCATATCTGAAAGCAGCTTCTCAACTTATTCTGTAAAATTGCTTAATGGAGTAGCTCTTTCATTGCTGTTTGCCTTTCTTATTGATTGTATGTTGCTTTATGAGGGCATATTTTTAAAGTTACTAAAAACGTTTCCTTGTCCGTTTTGTTCATTTAATTTCAGATGACCTTCAAGAAGCCAAAAAACTTTTAGCCAAAATGAAGTATTTTGCAAACCTTGAAGAAAAAGTGAAGAAGAGGAGAATCCCTTCATGATCCTCCATACTCAATTGCAATGGATTTTTTCCTATTTTAATTTTATCCTATTTGTTCAGGCAACTCTTGAGTCCTATTTGGAATGGAGTTGACATGATGCAGAAGAGATCACATCCTCTCTCTGCTCCTTAGACCAGGCCAAGCAGTCAGTCCTGAAAATGACCTGTTGCTCTTTCGGCAAATATAGTGGGAATGGCCTCGGATAAATGCACCACTGTAGAAACTCTGTCTTCAGGGAAGGCACTGGTATTTGGGAAGCCATGTGTGTGTTGTGTTGAGCCCTCAAGACAGAATAAATGTGTAGCCCCCTAGGTACGTTGAACCTAAAGGTTCAGATGCCGTTGTCTTCATTCAAGTCTCCTGCAGTGATCTGCTCCAAGACCAAACTGTGAGGTTGGGTGGAGGCACGGGCATCATGTGCTTGTGGAAGCTTGGAGAGCTGCCACCAGGCCTTGGTCCCTTTTCCTGCGGTGCTCCCACATGGGTATCCTTTGGAGTGTTACACTGCTGCTGCTGTGACAGCCCACACCTGTATTTTGGCAGGGCTACTAGTTCCACAATGAGGAGAGAAGTCAGTTTGCACAACGGCTGATTTTATTGAACTGAATTCTTGCTCTCTGGGTTATAAAATGGGTTCAAGAGGGAAATGGGCCTCGTCTACAACGCGCTTGGCGGGCAGCAAGAGTGGCAAGGCTGACGGGAGCAGGACTGGTGGGAGCCCCCCCCGCCCCGCCTGCTCACCTTGGCTGGCTCACAGAGGCCACTGAGCATGCGCATTCTGTGGCCAGGATGAGTCCCACCAACCCGTCTTGCCCCTTACAACTCATTGCTCAGGTGGTTTCTCTCACACAGTTCTCCATCTTGCTCCTTGGCTTTGAGGAAGTTGAGCTGGTGAAATTCTCTCTTAATTTCCAGGAAAGTTTTGTTCTTTGTTTCCGGGATAATAAAAAAGAGGAAGGTTGCGATCAAGCAGCATTCGAGCATAAACACAATGAAGCAGTACTGCTTGAGGCCTCTCTGCAAACAAACACACACAAACACACCAGGTATCTTAGTTCATGTAGCCCAAATACTGTGATTTTTTTCTCACACTCTTGGTAAAATGAGCAAAGGCAGCTGCTTTATTCCTCTTCCCTTCTGCCCCCTTTTCCTTTGCTGTTGTGTCACTTAAATTATAGGACTGTGGAAAGGGAGTATCTGTTTCTTTACTGTAGCCCATTTATTTATTTAAAACATTTTTATGCCACCCCCATCGCAATGAAGCCTTGGGGTGGCTCACAACAGGAACCGAAGAGCAGGATACAACGCTTTAAATATATGAGCGGAGCAACACTGCACACCCAGGCAGGATCAGAACAGTCTCATCAGAAACAGGCAGTGACCCAGTGGGAGGCCGGCTGACAAAGGCATCCACCTACCACGATGAAGGGGAAAAGCATCCCAATGGTGAAGAAGCTCAGCCAGCTCATTGATCCGGCTATCATGTACGCGGCAGGTCGCGAAGGCTGCGTGAACAATTCGGCAGTCAAAATGTTCGTCACTCCACCTAGAGATCAGTTTCCAGAAGAAATCGGGATGTGGATAAACATTATTTTGAGAAGCAGTGGGCTAGAAACATGCAGGAAGCACCAGTGTCTAGATTTTGTCCATTTTACTCCAGTGCCAAAAAACTGCTAAAAAGAGATGGCTGTAACTCACTATATCCGAAAATATGGGCATGAAAAATGAGTTCTGGGGTGTAAAGGCAAGGACAGAAATGCATACGAACAGCTATCGCCCAGAAAGTGGCTTGAAGGACCCTGCCTCAAGCAAAGCAGGCTGGAGATGCCCTGGCGGCCCTCCCACGCCCCTCTGCCTGCCTGCCTGCCCGTGTGCACACCCTGGAGCATCAGCAGGGCGCAAATGTGCTCAGCGGCAGCTGCACATCTCCGCTGAGGCCCAGTGGACGCAACCGGTGCAAACAAGGACGCATGCACTGCAGGGCAGAGGGCAAGCCAACAGCGTGGCTGCAGCCTGCCTGTCAAGCGACTGCTGTCTGGATGGAGGAACGGCCATGTTTATCCTCCATCTTACCCATTCAGTTCAACTGCTATGTGAGTTTACTCAGCACCTGCCCTCAAGCACCTTGGGCTGTGGCACCCACCTGGGGGCTGTCGCTGCCTTCCAGTGAAAAGCCAGGTCTGAATACCTGATTCAGTCACGAGCGGCTGGCACCAGAAGACATCTGCCCGCTCAGCCCAAACCCAAATTCTGAAAGAGGAGTGCTACCTGGTCCAAGGCCAAAGCTCAGGATGAAGGCAAATATGCAGGCCATGCTCAGGTACGGCACCCACGAGTACTGCTGGAAAGAGAGCGCCACACAGGGAGTCTGGCCCCCGCTGTGGCTACCCAGTGGCCAAAGCGAAAGTCCCGACCCAGCACGGCAACGGGGACACGACCCCAGCCTCAGCCCAGCGGCTTTCCTTGGCCGCAAACAGCCGCTCTGGGTGCCTGGAAGTAGATGCGGCACCCCACAGCCCACCAGGACCAGCCGCGTCCACGCCGGGGGCGTGCCTCCCGCCACGCATGGGATGCCAGGCCTACCTGGTACGTCAGCGAGAAGGTCAGCACTACGCACCACAGAGCCATGAGGGAGTAGCCGCCCAGGATGAGGACTCTCCTGCCCATGGACTCGATCAGCAGGCCCTGCGGGGGTGGGGAGGGAGAGAGGGGGTGGCTTCACTTTCTCGCTTGCACAGCCAGGGAGGACTTGCTTGGGGGTCCAAAATGTGCAGACCGGAAGAGCTGGAACTCGCCACTTACACAGGTGAGCGCAGTGAGGCACTCGCACGCCCCCGTGCCCAGCGTCACATAGGGAATCTTGTCCTGGGGAATCCCAGTCTCCTCAAACACGTAACCTGCATAGAAGTAAATCTACACCAAAGCGGGCGATAAGTCACCAGGAGGCGGCCAGGCTGCAGCCTGTCAGTGCTGCCACTGGGAAGCGAGGGAGTTATTTTCAAGCAATTGCATCAGTCTGCCATGCCCCAAACAAAGAGCCTGAGGTGCATGATGCACCCTTGCTGGGCCCTGGAAGCTCTGCCTCCTTCCGCCGAAGGGTCCCCAGTCCTTCAGGGGTCGCTGGCTGGGAAATTGCTGGCCGTGGGCTAGTCAGTAGCAGAGAGCAAGCCTCAAGACGAGCCCAAATGCAAAGGGCTCTGCAGACCTGCAGGCAGCTGGGCATGTCACGGGGTGGGGTGGCCATGGGCTGAAGTTAATGTGGCTTACTATGGAGGACTGTCCCGACCAGCCAGGCTTGGCCCAGAGGGAAGCACTGAACCATTTTCACACAGGCGGCTACGAAAAGGCACAGCCAGGAATTCCTGGAACAACGGAAGACCTGCCGGCTTAACAGCACCAGGTGCTTTCTCCAGTCACCATGCCGAGGTGCCGGTGGGGACAGAGGCAGCACAGCTCAGCCCGGGGTGTGGCAGGCATGCTCCGCTCTGCCCCGGGGCTGGCCGAGGAAGCTCCTCCAAGTGGGGAGGGGCTGCTGGCGGCTCACCGCATTGATCCCACTGAACTGCTGGCCCATCGTCATGAGGATGATGGTGATGAGCTGCCATCGGATGCTTCGGTCCCTGAAAAGTTCCCACAGCTTTCTGGCCTTCTCTCCATGGAGGGCAAAGTGCTCCTTCTGGATGTCCTCCAGCTCCATCTGATAGTGCAAAGGGCCATGGAAGCGCTTCAGTGCTGGGCAGGGAGAGAAGGAAAGGAAGAAGGAAAAGAGCAAGACTCAGTGCCAAACTGGCTCCTGAGCATGGGGCATCCTGCTACTCCGAGGGGGGTGCACAGGAGCAGTGTGCCTTGCATTCTCACAGGCAGCGTTCTCCCTCCCGGAAGTCCCATAGGAAAGGAGGCCGGCCAGCCGCCTCCTGCTATTTCTCTTCCGCAGAGGTGGCATTTCACAGCCTGGGCGGGGGCTGCACAGAGCCCTGCCTCGGGCACCCGCATCTGACCAGTCCGTGTGTGTCTCGTACCGAATGCCCCAGGTGGGCAGCGGGTGGGCCTGGTGCTGCCTGAAGCAAGAGAGGCCACACCATGGCCGGGGAAGCCCTCGCCCCTCTCCGCCAGCACCACTGCAGGGCAGCCCCCTCTCCCTGCTGCTGCCAGCCGCAGTCTGGCCTCGGCTGCCACTCCTTTGCCATGGCACAAGGGGCTCCAGGCAGGCTGGTAGTTCCCACTGCGCAGCTCCAGGGGTTTCATGGGACCTCAGCACAAGACGGAGCTATCACAAGGTGCTGGCCATGCGCTGAGATCTCATGAGAGTCCTGCAGCAACAGGAAGACAATGGCTGTTTTCTGACTGGAGTAAATGCTGTGGGGAAAAGTGGCTGGTTGGGCTCGCTGGAGGGGGAGGCCGCCGGTTTCTCTGGGATGGGGAAGAGGCCGTGCCCCAGGTCACGGCTCTTCCAGCCCCACCATCTCCTGCAGGCTGTTCAGGGGCAAGCCAGCTCCAGTGGCAGGGCATGTGCACAGCAGCACAGAGCCGATGGAGCTTGCAGAGAGCTGGGCGGAAGAGACCGCGGCCCCTGCAAAGGGGGAGGCCCACCTGGGTGAGGCCCAGCGCAGTGGCAGAGGCCCTGCTCCGCGCCGCCTCTTCCTCCCACCCTGATGAACGATTCTGCACGGCAGGCAAGCAGCTGGGCTTACCTTTGATGCACTTTAGCTCATCCCCTCTGTCAAGCAAAAGGAAGCGGGGGCTTTCCGGAAACCAGGGGAGGGTGAAGAGCTGGGCGAAGGCTGGGATGCAACAGCTTGAGAGCAGGAAATGCCAGTAGGTTGGTCTGCCGAGCAACTCCCTGTGAAGCGGGAAGGAACAGCCCTTTCCAGGCCTGGTGCAGCGGCAAAGACTGGTCCGCTGGCCCCAGCTCGCTCTTGGGCAGCAAGCCAGAGGCTGCGCCACCGGCCCCGGGATCCGCAGGGCCTCACATTCCGCAGCCTGCCACAGGGCCTCCGGCGCTCACCTTAAGCCCACCACTTGTCCGGCCAGGATGCCCACTGTCAAGAAGATGGAGCTGCCCATGGCCATAGCCCCTCGCAACCGCTTGGGGGCGGCCTCCCCGATGTAGAGGGGCTGCACACAGAGGCCGATGCCTGGAATGGAAAGCGGAGCTCAGCGACGGCCCCTCCTGCCGGGTCTTGTAGCGCTGCGGCCCAGCCGCCCCACGGCAGCACCCGACCACACCATTCCAAGCTTGCTGCCCCTTCCACTTTCAGTGTACGTGGCCAGCAGTGATTTGGCCACAGGAAAAGAGGCCAGAGGTCCTCAGAGCCCAGCACCTACAGAAAGGCTGCCCATGTTCCAGACCAGCATGCCTCACGCAGGAGCAAGGAGGGAAGCAGCTGGAGAGGAACGAGGCCCCGTGCACACAGCAACCCCACATACTCCCACAGGCCCCGCTCATAATCGTGCAGTTGCAGTGGCCAAGTGTGAGCCCCCAGACAAACAGGCTGCCTCTGCCCAGGTACGAAACGCAAGGCTGTGTCTGCCCTTTACCTGTGTTTACCCCAATCAGAAATCTCCCAATGATCAGCAGCTCGTAGAGCCCCGTGGAGAAGCTGGTTCCCATCAGGACCGCAGCCAGAAGGGCAACGAAATTGTTCATCAGAAGCGCTGCTTTCCTACAAAGGACGGGCAGGCGGGTTAGAAAAGGAAATGAGCAGGTGCCCTGCACTGAGCCTGACGTGTGAGCCACCACCCTGCCAGAGAGAGGGATGAATGACGGGACCCTGGGAGAGTCGCACCGCAGGCCCAGGGATCCCTGTGTCCTTTGTCAGCAGCAAATGTGGCAGCAGAGGTTCTATGGCGTTTGGGACACACGTGGTCAACACGGGGCCTTCAGTCCTCACCTTGGAACCAATCCCCCACCTTTGCACCCAAAGCACGACATGGAAGTGAATCCCTGGAGGGCATGTTTTTCCCACTGCCCCATACTTTTTCTTACACAGAAAACCCTTCATGGAGAAAAGAGTGGAATAGCTGCATAATTCGCTGCTTTGAGTTCTTTGTAAGAAAAAAAGCAGGATATAAATCTAATAAAGAAACAAAATGATGACTTCTGACCGGTGGCACTAGGACTCTTCCTAAGCCAGAGAGCACGGAGAGGGGTGGAGTGAGGTCATAATGGTGGCAAGTAGCTGTGCACGCTGCCCTTGGCTCCTTAGAGGAGTGGGCTGGAAAAAAGCCCAGCAAGACGAAGAGTGGGCGGGAGCCCACGTTTCTGTTCCAGGAAGTGGTGCCTCGGCCAGCAACGCCACTCCCTGCAAGGCAAATGGGAGAGGATCGCACTCACCTTCCCAGCGAGATGGCCAGGCTGCCTCCGATGTGCGCCCCAAGCAGCCCTCCCAGAGAAAAAACTGAGGCGATGGTTGACCAGAGGAGGGTCAGCATGCTGGGACTGAGCTCGGCCTGGTAGCGGCTCTGCCAAGTTTCATTCAGGAACTTGTGGATGTGCTGGAGAAGGGAGGGAGGGAGGGAGGGAGGGAAGCCAGTGTGCCCTTCTGCTCCATATTCCCAAGGGAGTGGGAGTGAGGCTCATCCTCACCCAGCAGGGCTCTTCCTCAGAGACGCTCTGGGGCACCAGCAGGGCGGCCTGAGGCTGCCCGTGTGCTCCACTCCCTGAATGGTACTGGCGTGTTTGGTGACTGCCACCTTCACGCCAGGCACGGAGCCCTTTCCTCCGTCTCCACCACAGGGCCCTTTCCCCCTTCTCCTGCCCACATGGGGGGGGGCTCCACTCCCACGGCAGCATCTGCCCATGCTCACAGTTCTAGGGCAAGGGCAAGAAAGCAGGGCACTGCCCTGCTCCGGGGTAAGGGTGGGCTCCAACTCAGGCCAGAGGGTTAGGCAGTTGGCCTGCCCCACACACCCGAGGCTGGCACTGGCTCTGGGTCGCAGCCCCTGCCCCAGTTGCCACAGGCCCCAAGCACACTGCCAGAGTCCCTCTCCTGAGGCCTCTGGTTCCTCCTGCAGCAGCCACTCTGCCCACAGGGATGCTCCTTCCAGCTGTGCTTTGGTGCTCATGTGTGTGGCGGGGCGGGGGGGGGGTGTCCTTTCGACTGCTTGGCAGTGGGAACCCTGCATGGGCCATCAGCTGAGCTCTTGCCATGGCTACAGCAGAGCCCAGATCAAAAGGCATTAACACATTTGCCTTGCCCATTTCTGTCTCATGCTTTTCCCCTTCCACGGCTACTTTGCTTTCAATCCCATTAAGCAGGAATTGTTCCAGTAAACCAACACAGCACCATTTAATGGGAAAGGGGATCAGCTGACAGAGGAAGCCAAGCCAGCGCTCCCCCTTCCTTCCCTTCCCCTCTCTTCTCTCTAGCTTGCATTTTGACTTGTAATAGCACTAGACAGAAATACCTCCCAGGCAGTTAGCAGCTTTTGGGAAATGGCCAGGCCAGTGCCCATTAAAATCGGTCAGTAGGTGGAGAGGTGGGATTCTTTTGGTCTCCAAAATGCTGGAAATAGCATATGGGGGTGGAAGGCAAGTGACAGCCAATAGAGAATGCCGTTACATTCTCCTTTCCAAGTGGATGGTTAAGTGGCCCATACTCGGCTCTGCGCTATGGCACATGCTTGAGTCTGGCTGGGCCATGAGGGCTGACAGCAGCAGTCTCTCCAGCCGCCAGTCCCCATCAGGCAGCCCCACGGGTGGCTGATCGCTGTTTACACTGCGGCAGGAGAGCGGATGCTGCCGCTCTCTGGGCTGGCTTAGACGGCTGCACTGCCTTCACAGCACCAGTATGGAGGCTTTCAGCTTTTGTGCCGCTCTGCCAAACATCTCTCCTAGCAGTCAGCTGCTGGCCTTGCGAGCTTTAAGCAGAGGGTGGCCCCAGAAGCTTCTCTGGAATGCAGTCCGATCCTTGCGCTCAAAGAGGCTCAGCCCCCGCGATCAAAGACATTACTCCTGGACCAGGGGAGAGTTGTATGCAAACATCTGGAATGTCCTCTCCGACCCTTCTGTGACTTGAGGAACTGGGTCTAGAAATCCTGAAGAACACCTTCTTCAGGGCATAGGAAGGAAGGAAGGATGGACGGACGGACAGGTCTTACCTCTGTGGGAGCACTGATGATGGAAACGTTGTACCCGTACTGAAAGGTCCCCCCGATGCCAGCAGCACATACAGCGAAGAAGAGTGTCCAGGTGGGCAGCTAGGAAAGAAACCACCCACTCAGGGCTGCCCAGTTTCACCCTGAATCTTTCTAGTGTGGGACTGCACACAGCCTCTCCAGGCAGCTGCTTTCTCCAGGCAGTGCTCAGATCTTCAAAGAGGAGGCACAATTTGCCTCAGCAGTCCTTTACATATAAAAATTGCTCACATACTGACAGTGCCATCCAGGTGGTTAACCTTCTTCTACCATAGAGAAAAAAGTAACACTATACTGGACCAAATAATTTTCCCTCTCATTAATTTAAAAAAAAATCAGACTTTAAAAATCTAGCTAGCTAGGATGTATACAGCCATTTCAACAACAAGCCGACTGAGGTATTTATGCACAAAGCGCTGCCTTCTTTAAAAGGGGTTGTCTTTGTATCTCTCCTGAATCTCATATATGAAGTGCGGTAGCCAAGCGCAAATGCCTCTTCACACACACATTGATCCGCCACTGCACTCACATCAAACATTTCATGGTCCTGGGGAAGAACCTGCTCACCCAGTTGCCGGGGTGGACCTACTGCTGAATGACCTATGAGAACTGGCTACACGAGGACAAATTTAAGTAGCACTGAGATCACCAGCCGCCCACAAGAGTCCCATCTAAAGTGAGAGCACCAGTGCAGACAGTTCCGCGTGCCTCAGTTGGTCCTCTCAGGTCCAACTCCCTTGGAAGTTTATTTGCACTTTCCTAAGGCACACAAATGGGGGAAGGGAGTACATCCCACAACTTTTAACAAACTTTCTGGTGCCAGTGAAATTCCTGACATGGTTTTCATAATCATATCCTACCAAACTCAGTGTGGCTTACGTCTGACTAATCATACCTAGCTGGCTACTCCAGGACTCAGCTACAAAGCACAGTGCAGCTCCTTGAAAAGGTACAAGCCCTTGTCCTGGCAAGCTGCTCACCTGGGAGGCAGGCAAAGGTGCTTACCTTTCTGGGGTGCTCTGCAGCTCTCAGCAGTGGCTGTTGCTCCATCCTCAGAAACGGGCAGGTCGCTTCTCCTCCCCGCCGCACAGAGCAGGGCGATGCCGCACTGCACAGAGCTAGGAGGGCTACTGCTGGAGGAGAGCACTCCACACCACGCCAACCCACAGTGGCCCCGGGCTCTACGGGCAGACTCTCCACCACCCACCAGCAAGCAGAGCATTTGGCGCTTCCCACAAAGAGCCTTTTCAAGGGTCCATTTGTCATAGTCGCTCAGGGAGACATGCACATTAGCTGCTATTTGTTATGGGCCCCCATTCCTATTGCTAGATAACTCAGTCGAAGCCAGAACTGGGAGGAGGCTGTTACCTGGTGATCATCCATCCTGCCCTGAGTCCCGAGCCCTGTGCCCGGATGCTGACTGCATGCCAGGGGATGGGAGCCGAGAGTGGAGTGGATGGGGTCAGTGCATGGCCAGCTTTCTCATCTTTGCTCTCCCACCCAGTGACCCACCAAAGCACCAATAAGCGAGCCAGCTCTCAGCTGATCCCGCTCCTCTCTGCTCCCTGCCAAGATGACTACCATGGGAGGAGAGGGCTCCTTGGTGCTTTTGAGGGGCTTACCCAAGGGAAGATAAGCCCTGGGAACAATGGCAGCTCTGTCTGGATCCCTTGTGTTACTAAGCAACCTTCGCCTGACAAGGCAAGAACCCAGCTTAGGGTTTTCCACACTAGCCATTGTTTGGGAGTTGCTGAAAAGTCTCTAGAAAGTGGAGGTGGCGAGTCAAGGTGGTGTAAATGAAAAGGTAAAAGGAACATGCCTTGACTTTCCCTAGCATGACTGTCTTTCCCAGCGAGTCTTTCCTACTCACGATGTGCCTGAAGTAAGGCAGAGGATGACTAAACGTGAGGGGGGTCAGTCAAAGGAATCCACAGCCACGAGTCCCCAAGAATGAGCAGGGCTGTCCAGGGCAGGGCTTTTGGCGGGAGTTGCTGCCACTGCCCGTGGAAGGTCCTCCTCCAGGGCTGCCTTCGGCAGCTGTTACTGCCCAGCAGCTGCCCTTCGGGAGCTTCTCTGTCCCCATCCCCATGAGACCCTCCCCCCATTCTGCTGTGACGGCTAGTCCGGAAGCGGGGTGCCTCTTTGGAGCGGGGGGCGCGGGCCGCCGCCCCGGGGAGGCGCGCGCGAGCTGAGGCGCCGACGCCTCGCTGGCGGGACCGTTCAGCGCGCGGAGCGCGGACGGGACGGGCAGGGGCCGCCGGAGGGCGGGGAGCCGCCGCGGCGCGGGGGGCGCGGGAAGCGACGGGGAGGGTGCCGCGCCGAGCGAGGACAGGACCGGCAGCGCAGCGGGCGCGCAGCACGCTCGCCCTGTCTGGCCCAGCCCGTCGCGGCCGCCCAGGAGGCCGGAGCCACGCCCACTCCGGCGGCCGCTCCCGGCATGCCTCTGGCCCCGCCCCGCCCCGCGAGGACTACAGCTCCCAGCGTGCGCGAGGCTCGGGACGGAGGCGGCGAAGCCGGCCCAGGGAGGCCTCGCTGCTGCGGGCCGCGCTCGCCTGCTCGCCCGTATCCGGCGGAAACCGCGAGCGCGCCGGCGCCCGTTTGTCCGGTGCAAAGCAGCAGTCCGGCCGCGGAGCCTCGCTCGCGTCCCCCGCCGCCGCGGCCCTCGCGGCAGGGCAGCATGATCCGCCGTCTCCACCCGCCGAGCGCGCTGGACGGGCTGGGGCACGGCGGCGGCTTCCGCCGCAGGCCGGGGCTCCTGCAGCCCCAGAGCGCCCGCGAGGCCCCCGCGGGGCCTGCGGCCGCGGGAATGCCTCCCGGGTGGCTGCCACCCAAGAGCTGCGGCGGCCGCCGCCGATCCAGGTAGGCGAGGCAGGCGGCGGGCGGGCGCGCGGGCGGCCCCGAGCACCTGGCGATGCGCTCCACGGGGCTGGCCCAGCCACGCCGCTGAGGCCGCTGCTCTCTTTGCTGCAGGGTGCTGCTCAGCTGCAGGAAAAGGCACAAGATGGGGGAGGAAGACGAGGAAGAGGAAGAGCTGGACGAGTAAGTGAGAGGCTCCCTCCGAAGAAATCGGTGGGCCGCTATCTCGGCCAGCCCCCAGCACTGGCCCCGCAGGGAGTCGGCGGGGGCAGGCAGGGCAGAGCCTTCTTTCCCTTTGCAGCACCGGGCAAACGCAAGCAGGTGGCTGGGTGGTGAGAGGAATGGGCAAGGCTGCGTCAGCTTCATAGACCTGCTTGCAGCTGCAGATGACCCAGTGTGGACTGAGTTGTTTCTTCCCCAGCTGTCCGGTGGGCAAGAAGAGGATGAAGGAAGCAGGAGTGGAGCAGGAGTGGACCCTGCCAGCCAGCCAGGTGGCAGCCCAGCCCTGCCCAGCCCAGATCTTGTGTGAAGAAATGGAACAGGCAGTGGGGGAGCAGCTGGGTGATGCCATGCACAGGAGGCTGCAGGAGATCGAGGACAGGTGGGTGCCACAAGGGTTTGCCCCTCTGGCAAGGGCTCAGTAAGAAAGATGTTGCGAAGGGGGCTGGGTTCAGGGCAGAGAGCAGACCCAGTGTTGCTCGTGTGACATGCGGTTCAGAAGAGCGTTACTTGCCAGATTTATAAAGAGCTTAGTCTTGCAGGTTGGCTGCTGAAGCAGCAAGCTCGAATGCTTTGTGTGAATGCAAATGAAGCCCACTTTGTTGAAAGTGCTTCTTTTGCATAAGCAGTACTATTTCTAGTAAGCACCAGTGGAGAGTAGAGCCCTGCTTGGTGGTGTGGCTACAAATTTTTCCTTATCCCTGCTGAGAAGAGGCTGCGACAGGCCCTTCTATGCTGGCTTTTGCTGGTGCCAGTCTAGACCGCTTGCTTCAACAGTGCAGGCCGTGGTTAGGGGTTGCCTGCCTCTGCACCTGCCTGTAGAAGCAAGGGAGCTGCCTGAGACAGAGCAGGCCTGTCCCACCCAGGTTGGTGCACTCTGATGGGCAGCAGCAGCGGGTCTCCCCGCAGGGTTCCAGGCAAGACTTTTCCCTAATCCTGTCTGGAGAGGCTGCCTGGCATTGAGTTGTGCAGACAGGGCTTGGGCTCTGCCTCTGGGCTACATGCCCTGCCATGTGCTGTGAGGCAGAGAAGCCCGTCTTCTCAGGGACAGCGGCCGTTCCAAGTGTTCCCTCCCTGTTGCCAGAATAATTGACGACGACGACGACGACGTGCTTGCGGAGGGGAGTGTGAGCCGCGTGCCCACTCTCGTCCTTTCTGACACACTGAAAACCGGGCTGAAGAGGGATTACCAAGAAGTCCTGACAAAGAAAATAATTGAGTCCATGTAAGTGGTGTTGGGCCTGCAGGAAGGGAGCAGATGCTGGCGCTTGGGAAGGGGTCCGGGCAGCGCGGCAGCACAGGGCTGTGGAGAGGCATCAGGCTGGTCTTAAGTGCCAGCGGCTGAAGGGCAGCCCCCCACTATGTCTGGCCTTACACCAGGCGAGGGTGTTCAGGGCGGCCCTGGTGAGGGAGCAGCATGGGGCAGCCTCCTCCTGAATGAGTGAAACTGCCCAGCAGCCTTGATTTCATGATGGGGGGCATATACCCTTCAGGTCCTCTGCAGCGGCTGGTGTTGATTCCAGCTCTCTCCCCAACCTAGGAGCCGTCCCTCCATGGAGCTGGTGTTGTGGAAACCTCTCCCAGAGTTCCTCACTGACAGAGCAAAGTCTGTTTCTGTTAAGAACTACAAGCTGATGGAAACAGAACGGGAGCTTGTCAAGGCAGCAGCCCTCGAAGCTGCCTTCCACCCACAGACGTTCCCCGAACAGCATCAACCAGCAGATCTGCCTTCGGCCCCCCTCTGTGGCACGGAGGGGCCCAGTGGTGGGATAGAGGAGGAGATGGAGTTGTAGGCGGAGGGGGACCTGGGGCGCTGTGACTGCTTGCCTTTTATGCTACAGCCGAGCTGCGACTGCAGGGGGCGTGTGCGTGTGTGCACAGGCACGCACGCTGTTTTGAGAGTGATACTAGAGAGAATTCAGAGTGGGTTGGTACAAGTCTTTGACATGGGAAACAAATTCGAGGGTTTTGTGTGTTTTACCTGTGACTTTTCTTTGTTGCCTTCTTAGAGTAACATCCTAGTTCTGGTTGTGATGTTCTGACCCTAGTCACCTTTAATTGTCTGCTGAGGCACAGCCCTTCTCAGGCTGGAGCAGGGTTTGCTCTGCTTGAAAATGAGAGGCAGGGGCTGGGGAGCCTTGGAGTTCACCTGGCCCAAAGGGTGCCTGTGAGAAGGGGCCAGGGGGACTGCAGCTTACCCTCTTTTGGCTGTTGCCACGAACTGGCCAGTCCAGCAGGGCAAGCTGGACCAGGAAGAGTAAATGTGACTGTTTGCCGAATTGCGCCTGGAGGCAGGAGGGTATGGACCTGCTTAGGGAGCAGGTGGCAGGCCTCTAAGCTTGGGTTTTTGAGAAGCAAATGTGACACGTGAATTGATTTTGGGGGTGCTTTAGCCAAGAGAAGCCTCTTGTGTGCCCTCCATTGCTATCCTGAGACGCTTACAGTGAGACCTGCAGCTAGGAGGCCCACTGATCATGGCTGGATTGTCTCAGATGGCCAACTGCACTCAGAAACTGTGCCACGGAAGCACCAACCTTCTGAAAACATCCGCTTTCGTGTCCCCTCCACCCTGCAGCTTGTGCTCGAGGAGGAGCTGCTTTGAGCCAGACAGCGGCACAAGCAGAACTGCTCAACTGGGGAGAGCACAGAAATACTTCCCTCCAAGTCGGGGCCTTTTGCACTGGGAGTTGCTTTTCACAGGAAAAGCACAAGATTCTCAGGCTACCAGGAGACTGGAAGGAGTGTTCCATAAATGTGGCTTGCTTGGCAGGGCAGCATCAGCAGACCTTTCTTCTGGAAGGATTTTTCACCATGCCGTTTTTTCCTGTCCGGCTTCATTTACCTGACTGGGTCTTGGGGTACGTGAGGTATGTGGTGCTCAGTCCTTTTGGCTGGTGCAGGGCTTTCCTGAATTCCTACCTGCCTGTCATCATATGGAAAAAGTTTTCACAGCTAATATGCCATTTTTTTCCAAACTTAATGAGAATCTGAAAGAAACCTTGTGTAATGTTTACACCTTTTACCTTGATTTTGATCCTTGGCAAAGGTGTTTCGCTTTGGCTTCAACATAGCCTGTTTTCCTTCTTGCAAAAATGCCATCACGTCGCTTGTACACTTTCTTTCCTGAACTTGCCATCTGAATGGACTTTTGGCCCAGCCCTTCCAGTCTCCAAACCTGTAGGAAAAGCGACCAAAATCTCTCTGGCTCACCGGAAAGCAATTGTTAAGGTGTTTGGAGACCCGAGATCAAAGTTTAGTCTGTCCCAGGAGATTGTATTGCTGTGTCGGTTGGATCACAAAGCCTCCTAAGTGTCTGGCCATGGAGTTGGACTGGGCCTATGTCAAGGAGAAGGGCCACTGGCCTGTGCCGTTTTCTACCACGGCTGCTGCTACTTATGTTGGTTAAGCTTAATTTTGGGAAGAAAGCCTAAGGTTTCCAGTTACCCAAGTAATTTATCAGCCTCTTCATTTTCCTCACTTCACACAGACTTGCAGCTGCCAGATTGGAAGGCAGTTTACACAGGGAATATGTAAAGATCTGCATATCGCTCAAACTTATTTGAAAAATATTTTTTTAGTGAAAAATTTGAGTAGTAGATGGATGAGTAATTTGCCAATTTGTTTTTGTAACCGAGGCTTGTCTCAGTTTCCTCACAGGAACGTGTCACACCAGAGGAGTTGAGTGTGTTTGAAATGAGCAGCATTAGATTGTGGTCTGTCTTCTGTTGGACCAAATCACAATTTATATGTCAATAAACTTTTTTTAATGTTTGTAGATTGCGGCGTGCTGGTCTTGCTGCCGAGCACCACAGAAGAAATGGCCCAACCGGTTTCCCATACAGGCTGCAGCATCTATTGCTCAAGTCGCTCGCTCCAGTGTTTATGACCCCTTTCGCTTCCTGTCTAAATTCAAGGCAGGAGGTGGGCAGTTAGGCCAATGAAACCTTGAAATCTATGCCATGAAACATGCATCTTGGGCCCACCATTTTCTCAGCCCCGGAGCACAAGTCCCACCGCTGCCCTTTTGTGGCCCAGTGGCACCGTGTGGGAAACCGTTTCTGGGCTAGAGGATCCTCCCCTAAATGTTGCAGAGGCAGAGAGGGCAACAAGTTCTGTACAGAACAGCAGGTTTGCTGTGGGGCCAGACAGCGACACCACACAAGTGCGCAACAGTTTCCAGCCTCAGGTCTGTTCTGATTTCACAGCCAATGTTGCAAGGAAGTGGAGCAGTGGCAAGAGGTCACAGGAATGGCTGCACAAAGTGCCCCCCCAGCGCTTGCGGCAAGCAAATGGCCATGGGACATGAGGGCTTTTGACATGCCGAGGGCACAGGAGGAGCCCTGCTGGATCAGGCCGGCGGGCCACCTAATCCAGCACTCCAAACATGCAGAGGCAAGCCAGTCGCCACAAGACCCCTCAGTCAGGCCGAGTGCAGGGCCTCCAACTGCCCGGCGCTGGTGAAGGAGGGGGTTCACAGCCAGCAAGGCCAGCAGCCGCAGGCAGCCTCCTCCCTCAAGGGTTGGACCCAATGGCCTCCCTGGCCCCTTCCAACTCCAGTATTCTATGACTTCTTAGCCAACACTAGTTTGCATCATGCTTCAGGGGAAGGCGTCGTGTGCCAACCCTGAGAGGCCCAGAAGAATGAGAAGTATAACCCAGTGAGTCTTGCAGAAGCAGACAGCACCTGCACAGGTTCTGCCCATCGTACTGCTGACAGTCCATTTCCTCTTCTCAGAACTGACTCACTCCACCACCTTTGTGCAGTGAACATCTTAAGGGAACATTCAGCAGACCGCTCTAATACCCTGGCATAAGGGATTGCCCTCCCCCCCAAATTTGGAACATAGATGACCTCTCTCTGCTGGCACGTTTAATCATGCTTTGTACAATATTGTATTCCCTGCTCCCGATATACACACTTCAATTGCAACAACTGCATTTTAATTGCATAATTTTTAAATATGCATCAGGAAAATAACCTACTTCATAAACGCATTTAAAAAAAATTATTTTTTTTACAAAAGATTGCTATCCCACACTGACCCATTATTTACAGAACTGGGAGTCTCCTCAGAGGGCTGAGCAATTCCATACTGAACATTGGCCTAACTAGGACTCTTCCTCACAGGAGTATCTGCCCTCTGCCTCAGTCAAGACTTCCACTTCTTACAAAAGACTTTGCTAACCATTTACTTAGGCAAATGCTGGACACATACAACGAACAGAATGGAGCAATACTTAAGGTTCTGCCGAAACACTTTCAAGAAAAATGTTCCTCGTCCTTTTGGGTGGGGTGGGCAAATGCTCTTCACACACTGATCAGCTGTGGAAACAGCTCCTTGGCAAAAGCCTCTTCCCAGCTGTACTCGGCATCCAGTGGAGAAGACAGGTCACTGAACGGAGGGGGGGACCCTTCATAACCTGAATCACTGGAAGCACCCAGCAGACAAGGGGGGCCCTGCCCGGAGAAGAGGTGTGAGAGGCCCAGCTCAGGTGAGAGGACATCCACAGGCTCCTCCTTGACAGAGACGGGGGACTGGAGGCAGGAGGCACTAAGTACAGAAGGGGAAGGAGGGGCCGCGTCCTCTGTGCTCACTAGCACATTGGCATGGTTGCCCCCCTCTGGCACAATCTCCAGGAAGAATGGCTTGGTATACTCATGGTCAAAATGGATCAGTTCATTAACGGCCTCCAGCTTGGGTGATGTGGGCCCCAGAGAGGAACTGGGGGAGGCTGGTAAGGAGGCTGCTTCTCCTCCGCACACCACCTGCTGCAGCTTCTCCAAGCAGGTTGGCTCAGGGCCACTGTAGCGCAAGAACAGGTCTGGATCCAGGCTGTCCAATATGCCCAAGAGGAGATCAGACTGTAGAAGACAGAGGCCCCCACATTAGAATAGGAAATCAGCCCTCGAAGGACAGCTGGGAATCCCTCCCCACTTTCCCTGTCTTTGGGGAGGGGGAAATAGTTCCTGTGCCTTGTTCAGTGGGTGGCTATTATAAAGAGAAGACAAAGAAAATACCCCCCCCCCAGAGAAAAATACAGGCTTCAGCTCTGCTGAGCAAAAGTTGAACACAGGAGAGGATCCAGCATCTCCTCCCTCCTTGCAAGAGGCTGCCACCTTAACCTTGCCTAGTCCAAGGAAACCATGAGTCCTTCCTGTCAGGCTATTCAGGTGCCTATAAATTTAAAGATGCAAGGGGTCTTCATAAACGTTTCCACACTTTTATATTTTCATTGAAAATAGTGAGAACAGGAAGAGCAGTAGCTGGTCATGTCCAAGAGTGTCATGGGACTGGCAAGCCAGCTGCCCTTGCAGTTTAGTGTAAGAGTTGTCGTGCTGTTAAGATGGCTGCAAAACTTATGAATTGCACCCAAACTTCTTGAAGACCCCTTATACATACATAAAGAGCCACGTGGCTGGTGCTTGTGCTCTGCCTTACGTAAAGTGGGCTTTGCTGGCTTCTCCCAGGCCAGCCAAAAGAGTGTGTGCAGGTGCTCACCTCAGAATCTGAAGAATCGAGGCCATCTGAATCCAGGTGGAGGCTGCCACCACCAAGGCAGACGACTGCTGGGCCTGTCCCTGCTGCAGAGGAACACGTAGTCTAAGTACTGCGGACTCAGCGGACCCGGTCGCTGTCTCGATGCTGCTGCTCCTGCTGTCTTCCTCCTCCTCCTCCTCCTCGGAGGGCTCCTGCATTTCCACCTGCGAGGAGGAAGCGTAGCTCAGACAGGCCTTCGAACTACAGCCCCCGCCCCGCCGCGCCGCGCCGCCGCTCACCTTGAGCGATGCCTCTGCTGCTACTACGTGGGCGCCCCCTTCCAGAGCCGGGAGCCCGAGGCGCAGGCGGAGCTCCTGGTTCTCCGCCGCCAGGCGGTGCGTGCGCTCGCGAAGCAGCCGGTTCTCGGCCAGCAGCTTCTGATTCTGGGGAAGCAAACGAGTGCGCGGCTCAGCACTGGCACGCGGGAGCGGCCCCCGCGCCCGCCTCCCCCGCCGGCCCGGCGCCCACCTGCGCCTCCATCTCCACGGCCTGCCGCTCCAGCTCGCCCATGCGCGCCTTCTTGCGGTCGCGCGCGCTCTGTGCCGCCACGCGGTTCTTCAGCTTCCTGCGGGAAGAGGAGAATCAGCCGGGAAGCGCCGGCGCAGCGGTCCCCCGCGGGACCCTCCCCGCTCCCTCCTGCCCGCCACCCACCGGCGCAGCGCCTTCTCTTCGGGGCTGAGGTGGGCCAGGCGCTGCCGCTTGCGAGGCGGCGAGGCCGTGGTGGAGGCCGGCCCGGGCGGCGGGGCAGAGGCCTGGGCGGCCGAGGCCGGAAGAAGCAGGAGCCGCGGGGGCGCGGCGGGGCCCGGCAGGGGGGCCATGAGAGGCACAGGCCGGCTCGCCGCCGCCGCCGCCGCCGCCACAGCGCTCGTCTTCGTCGGCCTGCGGCGGACTCAGCCCCACGGCGGTTCTTCCTCCTCCGTCGTCAGTGCTTCGGCGCGCGTCCCGGCCACATATCTAAGGTCGTGTTCGGTCCGCATTGGTCAGTGCACGGTGACGACACGGCAGGACCGCTCGCCCATTGGAAGGCGGGGAAGGGGGCGGCCGCGGGGTCGACGTTGCGTCAGCCGGAGGGGCGGGTTCACGGACGCAGGGCGGCCCCGCCCGAGCGCCACGTTGGCCACCCGCCCTTCCCCCACCCTCGCAATCGTCGGCGCGCAAGCCCCGCCCACCGCGCGGGCTCCGGGGCGGCCTGGGGGCGGGGCTGCTCGGGCCGCAGGCGCTGCGCTCGCCGCCCGCCCGCCTCCCGGGGGCTTCCCCCGGGGGCCCGGCCGGCCTGGGGCGAGGGCAGGGGGCTGTTTCCAGGGCCCTGTGAGGCGCAGGCGGCCGTAGCCAGCCGCCCTCGGGCGTTCCGTGCCTCGCGGGGCTCCGTGGAAGGGGCTCGGGCGGCGAAGGGTAGACTGGGCGCCATGAGGTAGCGCTGGCGGGAGCTCCGAAGGGTTGTCGCCGAGCTGGCGGGAGCAAGATGAAAACAAGAGCAAGCAAGAGTAAAGTGAGGCAGCCTGGGCAGGCGATCCGGCTCCGTGCTGGGCATACTCGGGAAAGATACTGAAGAGAAGCCTGCGTGTCATGCTGCCCCTGCACAGATCTTTGGTACGAGCACAGGAACAATACAGTGCTCCGGCCTGGTCACTTCACGTGGAACCAGAGGTGCAGAAAAGGGCAATTAGGAGCCAAGGTACTTCCACCCCGCCAAAGGCTCCAGCAGCCGGGACTGTGAATAAGGGGAGACATCCTAAAGGTGTCAAATATGTGGGGTGTGGAGAAACTGGAGGGGCAGATAGTCCCTTTCCTGATACAAGACCCTAACCCTCACCTTCAGCTGGTTGGCAGGAGATCCAGGGCAGATGAAGGACTTTTTCACATAGTGTACAGTTAAACTATGGAAGTTGTTCCCACAGGATGTAGTGATAGACACTAGTTGGGCAAATTCATGGAGAAGACTGGATGGGAGAGGCACTGTGCCTCTGTACATCAGTCGCTGGGGGAGAAGGGCTGAAAACTGAGGTTGGCTCCCTGTCCTGCTTGTGGTATTTCCATGGGACTCTGGTTGGACACCATGTGAACTGGACTAAAGTCTGTTGGGCTAAACCAGAATATCTTTATGTTCTGGCAACTGCTTCAGCTCCCTGTCAGCCCGGCCGTGCCCCAAAGTGAGCAGGTTGAACCAGTTTGCTTACGGAAAGAGCCACTTGTGCTTCTCGGGTCTTGGCATTCTCTGTTCATATAAATGGCCGTTTGTTTGCATATCCTGGTTCAGAGCAGGAATCTCTTCGCATAAAGGGCGGAGGGGTAAACACACCTGTGAGGTCTGGTGGACCTTCACTTTTCTGCTGCCAATGAGGGGCTAGGAGCAGAGAACAAGTAACATGCCAGCTTTTTTGTCTCTTAGGCCGAGCTGGAACTGACCTTTAGGACAGCCGAAGCAACCCAGAGTGCAGGTGCAGCCTCCTCCTGCGTTGGTCCCCTTGCTTTTCTTTATCATTTCCCCCCTTCTAAGAGGAAGCAAGGCAGCTCACAAGGAAAAGGTAATATGCTGTGCGAGACCATGAAACAGTCTGTGCAAGAGGAAGGGCTCTAGGCAGACATCCAGAAGATGCAGCAGTAGGAGTGTGGGCTTTGCTTCTAGGCCAGGGAGTTGGGAGTAGGTGACAGCCAGATGGTCAGCAGTGTCGCTTTGTCTGCAACTGGGCCATGGCTTCGCCTGAAGTGACACAAGGATGCCAGCCTCACCCCGTTTCTGGTGACCTTTGTGGCACGCCAGAGGGGGTAGCGGCACGGCCATGTGCCTGTGTGGGCTGATTGCGTTCCCAGCAGCAGCTGCACAGAAGTCCCCTCTTGTAATTTTCCTGACAGTGGGACCAGACTTGTCGATGCTTATGGAGAAGTCCTGTCCACAGGGCAGCGTTTGACCTCCTGTGACTGGTGAAGGAGCAGGCCTTGCCAGTGCTCCCTAGGAGGCTCTTCTTGATGTGAGCTCCGGTGCACCCGAGTTTGGCCAGAACTCCCTCCCTCCTCGGAAGCTGTCTGCCTGGTGGGAGTGCAGTGTAAGCACCAGCCACAGTCCCAGGGAATGGGACATCCCATTGAGGGAATGGGGGACGTCCCTCAGCAGAAAAGGAGGCATCACTCTGCTGGATGAGATACCAAACACCCTGTCGGGATAGTGGGGGGTGGGCAGTCTTTCCCCAGGCTGTCCCTAGGATTTTGGAAAATAAATTGCTTCTGAACATAAGATTCTTGCCAGGTGTTGCAATAACTAACTGTAAGCATCAAAGGGCAGACTTTTCCATATTGGATAAAGCTGAGACTATGGAGCTCATTACAGGGTATTCTTGTTTCTGATGCAGGTGTTTTTTTTTGTTTTTGTTTGTTTGTTTGTTTGTTTTTTTGAGGCCCTGGACAATCAGATCACACTCAGGCCACTGGATATCAGAGAACCTTATCTATTGTAGATTAAGAAAATAATACAGTTGGAAGGGCCATAAAGGCATCTGCAGATCTGTTAAGCATTCCCTGTACCGCCTCATCTTAAACATTACTAAAAATGTTGAAGAACACTGTACCCAGCATCCAACCCTGCAGTATTTATTTTAATTTTTATATACTGCCCCATTCTCATAGATGCTGGGTAGTTTACAAGAGGAATAGAAAACATGTAACCAGTTATTCAAGCATCCTTAATTTAAATGAACAAAAGCTCACGTTCTGCAGACTTGGTTCATAATTACAGTAGTAGGCATAAAGTGCCAATGTAGCAAAATATCAATTTATCCAATGTGGAATTTTTAAAATGATGAAATAAAAGTTCTCTTCTTGACTTGCGCTGCCCAAAATAAGACATGTCTCTGATTCTTTCTGCTTCTGTAGGAGACCCTCTGGTAGTTCTGAAAGGATGGCCTGCTGTCTGCTTCTCGTCATACTAGGATTAAACGGCACGTCCTTTATATGATGAGAGCTAGACATGCACTATCTCACTTCTTACTTCACCAAAGGCTCATGAACATACGTAACAGTGATGAAATGGAGGTAGGGGCAGTCCTCTTATGGATCAGTAGCTGGTTAAAGAACAGAAAGCAGAGAGCAGAAATACTTAGTAAATTCTCCCAGTGGAAGAATGTTACCAGTGGGTTCCCAGAGGCCTCTGTATTAGGACCAATACTTTCCAAGCTATTCATAGATATCTGGAATTAGGGGTCAGCAGTGAAGTGGCCAAGTTTGCTGATGACACCAAATTATTTAAGGCAGTAGTGTAAAAGGGGGTTGTGAGGAGCTCCAGAGGGGCCTCTCCAAGCCAGAAGGACAAGCATCAAAATGGCAAATGCAGTTCACTCTGAGCAAGTGTGAAGTGAAGCATGCTGGGGCAGAAAATTCTGACTTCAGCTCTAGGCTGGTGGGATCTGAGCTAGCAGGGACTGGCCGAGAAAGGGATGTTGGACTTGCAGTTTGCAGCCTGATGGAACTATTGGCCCGATCCGTGGCTGCTGAGAAAAAGACAAGCTGCATGGTAGGGATGATTGGGGAAAGCATTGGAAGTAGAACTGCCAGTATCACACTGCCCTTAGACAAATCTGTGGTGTGATCACACTGGAGACTATCCGTGTACCGTTTTGGTTGCCTTCCCTAGAAAAGGGTAAGAAGAAGTGCAGAGAAGGGCAACTAAAATGATGCAGAGGTGGAGCAACTCCCCTCTGAGGAACAGCTATAAAGGGTGCACGGACTTGCTCGATGGAAAAGCCACATCTGGTAAATGCCGGATGTGTGAGAGCCGCAAGTGGGTGCCTGCAGGTGGTGGCTGTGGGTGGCGAGCAGCAAGTGGGTGCTTGCCGGTGGCAAGCCACAAGCTACAAAATAATCTCACAAGAGCTGCATGCGGCTCCCGAGCCTCAGTTTGGCCACCCTGAGCTGGAACAACTGGCATTGCTTAGCTTAGAAAATCCACCAGCAGAGGGAGCCTAATTACTGCACTCTTGGCACCAAGCAGGACTGTAGCCCACCCCTCAGAAAAGAGATCCGTACCATGGCAAGCAGGTACTGATGAGGGGCCAAAGTGCCAGACACACACGCGTGCACACACAACAGGAAACTGCAGGTGCACTGGCACCCATTTGTCCCAGAGACTTGGATTTGTGGCTCGGCCCCACCCAGCTCTGGGATATGCTTTCATCTTGTACACTCTTCCACTCCGAGCAGCAAAGCCAATCAGCAGAATTAGAAGCAGGCCTGGCTTCTGATCTTGAGGAGCCGTGTGTTTGTGCGCCCGTCCTTTCAGCTACTCGGTCTCGGAGCTTCACATTCAGCTGCGTGAGCACGTGGAAGCTGCCACAGGAGTCCTAGTCTTTCACTTCTTGCCAACTGGGTTAGACTTGCAGTGCTTCACCGAAGTCGCCAAAATGCGGCTCTGAGAATCTATCTCTGAGATTCCAGAGGAACTTCAGAAAGCCCCATGGCTGGATCAGGCCCAGCTGAGCCCGTAGACCAGAGTTCGGCAGTTCCAGCTGGGATCAGGCAGCTCAGTAATGACACTGTGCAACGTCACAAGCTGCGCTTGCTTACTGCACCCTCCACCCCATCTTCCCTCAGTCCTTCAGGCCCAAATCCAGATGGGCAGAACGGAGTGCTCGGGACCTGGCACCTGAGCCGCACTCTTGCGCTGGAGGAATCCTCCTGGGCACTGATTCTTGCCGCTTGCTTGCATCAGCAGCTAGATGGGAGAGAGGAGCCTTTCTTGAGCAGGAAGGCCACGTGCTCCACGAGGCAAGAGGAGGCAGGAGCAGCAAGCTGCATCTCTGCTGACCAAGGAAAGAGCAGGTGCACAGGAAGTCGATGTGAACTGGAGTACAGTCGGGGATGTAGCATGTCATCTGGGGCACATCAGTCGAGGCCTGAGCATGCAATTGCCTGGCTTGGCAAAGCTGGGCAAGCTCTTGCCTTAAACTAGCAGGCCTTCGTTTTCTTTAATGGTCGAATTTTCCTGGGTTTTGAATGGCGATCCTGCCCTCCCCTCAAGGTACTGCCTGGAACTGTTGACAAATGGGAATGTAAAGGTTTGAGCAATGGTCCCGTGGTTTCCCTTCAGGAATCAGGACATCCTGGAGGTGCTTCCAGTCTAGCGAAGGCTGCCCATGGCAGTTGCCCTCAGCCTGCATTAGGTAAACAGTAAGGGGAAGGGTACACTTCTTTCCTCATGTGTAGAGTGTACACATGATGAGACTGACTAAGGGAAACAAGATTCATGTGTTAGGCCTCAGAGATGCAAGAGGAAAGAGAGAGTTCTGCTCAGGAAATGATGACAGAATGTAACTGGGGAAGTTTCAGTATGCAAAAGCAGAGATGTATCACAAGCAGGTGTGTGTGTTTTTGCTTGTGGGCCTTGCCACCTGTGCAGCCCACTGGATAGAGGCCAGCGTGTTTCAACTGACACCCTTTTTGCTTGTGCTGGCCTATCAAGCTGTCTTACAATTTCATATATAATTTGAATATTTTCCTCTCTGTATTTGCTGGAATCAAAAGGTCTGAAGTCAGTTCCCATGAAGCCTACAGACCAAGGGAGCAGTAGGCAAAAGGTCTGACTGTAGCTCAGCTCAGCTTTTGGGTGCACAGACAGCTGCTCTGAGAGGAATTAGAGGTTTCAGTTTGCAAATGCAGGGGTTTCATGCCAGTGTTTGCAAAGACAGACAGACAGACAGACAAGCTCATCGGAAGGAACTTGGGACCAAGAGTGAATATTCCTGATTGTTCACAAATTACAAGAGTACTAGCTAGCCTTAACTTATGAAAAGTCAAGAATGAACAAATGAACAAAAGGAGGGAGGGAGAGAAGGGATGAAAGAAAATCAGACAACTGGATGCAAGAAAGAAGATGAATGCTTGAAAACCCGAGAACCCCGAAAATAAGATATTGCTGGGAAGAACCTAGATGGAAGGAACAGTCTGGCTAGGAAGTTGCTGGATGCACTTAGCCTGGCTATTTCTTACACTTTTGCTCTTAAGGTTTTTTGTGTGTAACCATTGCAATGTTAAAGCCTTTGTTACCATACTTCTGTACATTTTCTAAATATATTCTTTAGAACATGAGGTCTCCTTTTTGTAGGATATGTACTGCATACTACCTGAAGATATTTACAGGACACTCAGAGCATTTTTGGGCTACTTGACAAAAGCAGCCTGGCAAAATTAAGATTTCCATTTGGTGGCAGCAGAACACTGGAAGGGAAAAGGCAAAGAGGAGCGATTCTCATTCCAACTCCCAGACCAGGGCGCTGGCGCTCCTGGATGCTGCCTTGTGCTGCTCTCTGAATGTGGCTGCCAGGGCTTCCTCCTTTCCTCACATTCCCCTTTCTACATCTTTCCTGTTGTGTGTTTCCCTTTGGCCATTTTAGCTCTACCTGAGAATTCTTGCATAAGAAAATATGGAATACAGCAGGCCAGAGTGGCAAACAACACTCTAGCCCTCCAACCCCTCTGGTTTCCCTCTGAATAGCATCAGGCTTAAAAAACAAACCAAAGTTTGGAAATGTTGCTTTTAATAGACCTTGTTAAAATCAGGTCTATGTCCAGCTTCCAAAGAGTCATTCACTCTGCCGTTCTCCAGAACTTATTCCCAGTCATATTTTTGCAATTATGAGGCATCTGGTGCCTGTATTAAGATGCCTGTCCTCTCTCTCCAGAAGTGAGCAAAGCCCACCGGGTCGGCCAGTGGGCCAGAGAAGCGGGGGCTTCCCGCGGAGTTCTGCTCCTCCGGGACCGAGTGCTTCGGCGCTTTCCCGCCCTGGACATCCCTAGCAGGCACTGACGGGTGTCCCGTCACCCACTTTTCGTGGGTGCCCTGACGCAAGGCAGGGACAGAATCCGCGGGCAAATGGGAACGGGGCCCTAACCAGGGATGCCCGCCGCAGCCGGTGGCGCAGAGAGCCCCGCCGCCAGGGGCCGCGGGCGGCGGTTGTGCCGAGGACCGGCGGTGCCCCCGCGAAGCGGCCCGCCGCCGCCGCCTCACCCCAGCCCCGCGCCTCGGGCCGCGGAGGCCCACTCGGCCGGGCCCTGGGGGACCCGCTCCAGCGCGACCCGCGGCAGCGCCGCATCCTGCTGCGCCGGGCGGCCCGCGCGAGGCGCCACGGCGGGAGA